CGATAGCCAAACGCATCATTTCGAAACCGTCGTACACCCATTAGCACTTTTTAACCCAGAATGTAAAGAAGAAGAAAGATAAACATTTTCATCTACAAAAGGTACTATTAATAGCAAGACTGCTTTGGCAACAAAACAGTTTTAAATGTCAGAGAACCGTAACCGTGCAGAAAGCAGGGTACGGCTCGCTAAGTCGACTTATCACAGCACGCCTCTTACATCAGATGAGTGCATCCTTTTCCCCAGTCCTGTCTGTACTGCGCTCCCATCTGCAATGCCTTTTCGCGAAGATTACCTCGCTCAGGGTTCACAAATCCACTCATAACAAACACTACGCCTTTCTTAAAGAAACCAAAAAACAAATGTATGGAGCAATAAGAGACCCATTAGAGCCTATAATAAACTGTTTGTTTAAGAATGAGGTCAAAGCACAAACAAGCTGAAGCGTGAAGTGTGGATTTTACAATTAAGCCGAACGTTACCATAATTTCACCAAAAGGAACAGAACTTTCGTCACGTATAGGAGAGTCTGAAAAAAAGCAGCAAAAAGTTATCTATTGCCTGGTAATTTTGTCACCGGTTTGCCTTTTCTATAAATGTTGTGGAGGTGTCAAAATGAATACAGTCGTAAAATAGGTTGTGGTTTTTCATCTTGGTAAATAACAGATCAAAAGAGAAATAAAAGCGTTTGTCTCACGATGTGGTCGCTTCAGATATGGATCGCGACCTTTCGACTGCATACTGCTGGTCTTCTTCAGACGGTCATGGTGAAACAATTTTGAAAAATTCATCTCTGGTTATGTCATTTTACCTCTTTTTTTCTTGGATGGTGGTGCTGGTTTATTATCATTTTTCCCTTTTGGTGAATCTTCATGCTTCCGTTTGGTGCTCTGAAAGACAAAAATATAAAAACTTCAATTAACAAGCGTTCACCTAGCACAATACTTCATAACGCGACTCTATCAGTATGCAAAAATCCCGAGCAATTAGTAAAAATCGAGGGCGGTTTCAAGACAGAATAGTGAAAAATTAACAATTAAATCCAAATTCCTCGAGTGGCAAGTGAACCACGGCTGGTTAATTCAACGACCGAACAGAACAAAATAATGTAAAACCTATGCGGAGGCAAAAAGATTATTCAACATAAGGAGACAGTCGTCCTGACCGCGTGAAAACGTGATTGATCAAGTAACTGAATGGAAAACTGGTGCAACTCTTCTAACCGATTACCGAGCACAGAGAAACAAACCAATTTCCAAATACTTTTAATCACTCTCAAGTAAGAACCTACCTCGCTTGTTTTCCTATGAGAATACCTCTCGCCCGGTTTTGGGGAAGATCTACCACCAATTTTGTCTTCTCTGCCTCTGGCCACTGGTTGTCTGTCCGAGGCTACTGAGTGCGTCTCTCTATCCCCTGACTGTCCATCCTTTGTTGATGGGTGCCTGTGATTCTGAGCACTGCTGGCAGCAATTGTTCTCTTGTCGACTGAAGAAATGACTGTTGATGCTGCTGCTCGAACTTCAGCTGCAGTGGACATGGATGGCGGAGAGGTTTTCTTTTGAAATTTTTTGAAAAAGAGATTTCCAGAAGAAATTTTTTTCTCTTCAGTCTCACTATCATCTTTTAATGTAAAACGTCCAAGTCTCTTTGAAGCCTGAAATGATTTTAAGGAAATCATGATCATATTGGTCAGAGCTTTTCAAAAAAAAGTTAGCCATGTTGTGCTAAAGAATGAGCCAGGAACATGATATAAATGAACCATATTTGTCAAAAGAAGTAAGCCTATCAAGAACATTTGAACATCAAAACATTTACTAAATCTAAGAACTACTGGCTTGACTTCAAAGACATCCTACACTAAAAAAAAATAGTTATTTAAGAGAGCTTATATGGTTGGCAGCCCATAATAAGCATTCTTATCAAAGTGAAGCAGTGAGTTATGCTTTGACATAGGAGTAGAACTTTTTACTCTTTTTGATCTCAGGGATTTACATCTTGCAAAATTCTTGTGAAGTTCAATTTAATTTTATTTATGGAAATAAGATTGCATACAAGTAAGGCTATAACCTACTTTAAAAGAAGAAAATAATCCTTCACGTACTATTTCAATCTGTATTGAAAAGTCTCGCCAAGGAGCCATGCAGAGAGATGTGAAGCAAAAAGTTCTTTGTCACAGTGGTGATTTTTGATACTCACTGTCACTGGAGTGTGAGGCATTGCTTCCTTTGTGGCTTGAGAGTCATCGTCCATGTCATCAGGAGGAGAATGGAGGTTTACGAAGGACAGACCATAACGTTCATTCTAAAGAATGGTGAAAAAAAAGCTATTATAACATATTGCATTTTTGAATTTTTATTGATTTTGGAATTTTTTTACAGATGATTTCATTAGTTTTGCATTTTTTCTATTTTTGTTACATTTTTTTTTCCTCTGCTGTTAAATTAAGGTTAGGTTCTATTTCATTGCCAAAACCAACAATGTGTATTACCTTGTTAAATGGTTGGGTGCAAACCAACTTGACCCTGTCCCACTTCTGAGTTGCTACTGGTTTGGAGAGCTTATCAACACCTGATGAAGGAAGAAGAGTATTTTAAGTCTAATAATTAATTTCAAATAAAACAAATAGAATAAAAATGAAAAGCGGTAAAATCAGACAAGCTCAAAGCTACATGGGCATGGCAATCATATCCTAATTTAGTAACTGAGAAAGTAGGGTGATCATAAATCTGTAAATCACAAGAGAGATTTTGTAAGTAACTTCTCCTAACCATATCAAAACAATGTCCTGCAGACAGGTGCAGTGGTCTCCCTTATTTTAAGCATGACACGTAAAATAAATGTTTAACTGGGTAGAGCAATGACCAGCTCAACTTTTAAGATTTCCAAGTGATTTTAGGTGGTAATGAGAGGTTCTACAAGCTGTTAATTTTACTGGTTAAAAAGGAGAAAACTGCAAGTGATAAGAATAATTAAAATTATCAATTTTAAGACAGTCTGTTGATTTAGAACCAAATCATCAGTTGTGCCATAAGATGTAATGTAGTATGTTTGACTGTCTTTTTACCAATTTAATGGCCCCGGCTGGATGTTGGGAGAACACGACAAACCTTTGTGAATCACCCGCCCCTGACTGGTGATTTGCAAGCTTTGGTTGTGTTCTCCCGCTATATCAGGTAGGTTATTGCACTAGTAAATCAACAGAAAAAGTGGTCTATTACTATATGTTTACCGGTGCAATAAATGATACTGAGGTTTTGATAAAAAAAAGGGTGAAGTTCCCCTCTGAGAGAGGGTTACTAGAGAACAGTAGAACAATGAAATATTCTTTGCCAAACCCAAACTCTGATGCAATCAAACATGATGAATAGATAGCTCATGCTAACCAAACATCCTCACTCTATTGGTGCTGGTAAAGGATTTACTTTCAGCTGGGCTCATAAAGGACGATGTAACAAGAAGAACCTAAAAATAGTACATAAAATTCATCACATTCAAAACTTGCACCTCTGGATACAGTCATGTAATTCAATAAACTTCATATCTGGTTTAAATCTTGTATGATCTTTTAATAAAATTTTCAAAACACTTGGAAATCAATTTTCCATTATATGTTTTTTGCTGGTTTGTCTCCAATTATCCATGTCCTTTTCCCTAGCAAAGCTTCCTATCATTGGCTGCCTTTTTATCCAAACAATTGATAAACTGCAGTCATTTGAAGCATTTAAACCAAATCTAAAACTGTACACTTGTTTTTGACTGCACAAGATGGAGTACATAGTAGTATCCAATAGAATAAAACAAACAAACAAACAGAATGTAACAGAATAAAACTAGAGCAAAAAAATTATTTCAAAAACTTGGACTTCACCTGAAATTGTTCATCAGAGCTCCAAGAAGATCTTCCAACTAACACTTCCACAAGTGCTGAACCATTGTTACCTAGACAGTAATGATTTATGTTGAAGCAACTGAAAGCGATAAACCCTCCTCATGACTTCAATACATTGTCTACCAGACAGATGATTAAAATGAACAAACTTGATGACTGGAGGACATATTCTAAACAAACTTAGGTAGAAATGTTTGGCGGCTAACATGGAAATGAATTAAAAGGACCTCTTTTAAGGATATAAACAACACCATCCCGGAAAAAGATTACAAACAAGTTCAAGCTTAGAGTTTAATGAGTGCAACAATTATATCATTCCCTACTTCAAGAAGCGACAGGTACCAACCTATGTCAATGGAGTGTATCTGCGTTGCTTTCTCAAGCTATAGTGGAAAAAAACATTCAATTCTTAAAATCATACAAGAGCATTCAAAGTATTACCAGTCCATGCGAGCCCGCTAAGTCCTAACACAGAGAGTACAAATGACACCGACACTCAATGGGTTTGAAGTTACACAAATATCATTTTCACAAAATTTACCTCCAAAATAACAGAAGCTTGTTTCTCTCCTGGAGATGCACACCTCCATTTCCTATACGTTTCTGATTTAAGTAAGTTTTGTGCTGGTTGTGTCTAGGAATAACAAAGTTGTGAAATCAGGATTTAATTTATGAAAGGGAAGTTGTTGATTCAACTTCTAGATGTAGCTGCTTTTCACAAGTAAAGTGAAAAATTTCGAACTTACCACATCTTCGCTGCTGAAGGATAACACATGCCTGGGACGAATAAGAGGCATGGCTTAGCCTCTATCGTTTATTTGACTGACAAATCGTCAAATTTTATAAACGCAGCAAATTTAGACGTGGTTGCTCGTTAAATGCAAAACTCACTCAGGCGTTCCTTGTTCTGCACGGTTGAGCTCTGGACTCCAGTTTTTTTACGTCATTTTCCCGCCAACTTCCTGTAGGCACGCGCCGCTGGCTGCTCTACACGCTGCCACTACATGTGACTTTTCCGCATGCTCAACCTTCGCCAGAATCTTGCAGAAAAACCCTCTGGTGAACCACATCCCTTCTTGGAAAACTCCTTTTCTTCTATTCTACAAAAATGTCAACAAATAGACGATTTTACATAGGTAAGTGGAGGCAACTGTCCGTAAACTGGAACTAAATACATTGGCATAACAGAGCCTGTTCAGCTTGGAACGAGGTTGTTTGTTGTGACAAGCGTTCACGTGGTTTGTTCTCAGCTCCCACCCGTCTTGCTTTTTAAACGGCTTTTTATGTTTGTGAAGTCGTATTCATGATTTTCGCGCAATTATGTGGCTACGAAATCTCCTTCGAATTATTTTGCTTTGTTGCCGTGTTTGTCACAGTTTCGAAATTAATTGAGACAGATAAGCCTAAAAATCACTCCATGAATTTAAAACAGCTGCAAGCACTCTAAGATGCCACAGAAAGCGTTTTCAACGGCATGAAAAGTCCATAGGTTTATTAAAACAACACAGAGAGGATTTCAATCTTGGCCCCTAGCATGTTAATTTCTCTTTAGCTCGCAGTGAAACATGAAACTGCATACAACACTCCATATATGTGCAAACGCCTCTTTACGTGCGTTCATGCACAACACTTCAATACGTGATGTTCACGTTACTTGAAGATTAAGTTGACTTCTTACCTCACAAAAAGGCAATGGCTTCAGCATTCCACATCACAACATTAATGTTTTCACCCTGAAGTCAGATTTAAAATGGATTTAAAAAACTCACATCCAGTGTTAACACATGCCTATAAGCTAATTTCTCATTCCATTCCATTTCAAGAATTTTAATTTGAAAATAGCATGCCTTTGAATCAAATCAGCAGACAGGTACACAAAATATTTTCAAAATACCCTTGGTATTCTAATTGAGCTTTGCATTGCAACTGTCTGTTATTGTCTTTTCCTTGTCATTTCCTTGTCATTTCCTTGTCATTTCCTTGTCATTATCCATACTTTGTTTAATTTGTAGGCAATCTCTCTTTGAAAGTGACTAAAGATGACCTCCGCCGTCACTTTGGTTTAGACAGCACGCCTTACTTGAGATCAAATTCATGGATTGAATTATCTGTGGAACGTCCAGGAATGTCTCATGGGTTTGGATTCATTAATGTACCAGAGCAACTGGCAAGTAAGTTTTGAGTGTAATAGTGAGAAGTTAAGTCTGTTCACAAGCCAAGTGGTAAAATGGTACTTAATACAGTACACAGAACTTGAACTGTGCCATCACCTTGCTTGCAAACTTGATAAAACTTTGAGGCTTTATTGTATTCCAGGTCACTTACTTCAGCTGAATGGAACAAAACTTTATGACAGATTCATCAAAGTTGAACCAGCTAATACTCAAATGGGAGGTCGCAGGAGCAAAGTCTCTATTCCTTCAATGTTTCCATCCTCATATGTAATGCCAATTCCACAACTGGCTAACTATCCCTATGGAATGAACCAGTATAGTAATAACATGAAGGGTCGACGGAACAGGCGACTTCCTCAAGGGCCAAATGAAATAGTGACTGTTCCAGAAGATAAAATTTTACAGCTTATTGATGTTGGTGTCAATCTGCCAAACAAGGCGTAAGTCAAACTAACTAACTTTGTTATATGGCCAGGCAGTCCTGAGGTAAATCACAAGTGTTCAGTTTTCAGACCAAAGATGAACTTTTTCAAATCATTTGACATTCTCTGCCAGAAAAAAATTAAAACACAGAAAATCACTTAGTAACAAAATAATAACTTCTTTGTTGGAGTAGTTTTCATTCTATTTTTTAAGGATGTAAAGTTTTATGTAAGCTATGTTTTAAAATCAACGTGACTGTTATTTTGCATTTCACTGCAGATTTTCAAGAGATATACGAAATGTCATAGAACAAGCGGATTTAGTGGGAATAAAAAAAATGATTTTAACAGGGAACACTTTACAGATGAGTCAGTCAGCTGTTCTTCATGCTAAGGCACATCCTCATGTCTTGTATGCATCTGTTGGTGTACACCCTCATTTCACAACAAAAGAATGGAATGAAAAAACAGCCAGGGAGATTGAAGAATTGGCAAAAGACCCGGTAGTTGTTGCTATTGGTGAGGTTGGTTTGGACTTCCACAGAAATTATTCAGATGAAAAGGCCCAAGTTGAAGCATTTACAAAACAGGTAAGCCCTTGGGTATTTAGTTCATTGAAATCGTGGACAAAACCAGCAATAACGATTTCTTTTTGATAACACAACAGGTTGAAATTGCTTGTGAGGTTCAGAAACCTCTCTTAGCACATGAGCGGGCATCGCACCAGAAGTTTATTGAGGTGTTGAGTCACTTCAGTGGCAGGTTGCCTTCAATTGTGATTCACTGTTTCACTGGTAGTGTCTCTGAAATGAGTGCCTATGTTGCCATGGGATTTTACATTGGAATTTGTGGCTTTATTTGCAAAGGTTAGTTGAACTGAGTTTCTTTTGAGGGCACTGACTAGTTTATCCAAAAGTCTATACCTGAACTGAGTGGCCCACAAGGGAGCTTATCTTAGTCTCCATGAAATGAAGCAACCAGCAGTTTTGTTACTCCCTTTGGGCGAAGGCTTTTTCAAGCATCTATTTACATTATTGCATAGAGAGAGGTGCTGTGAGAGTGATGTGTCTTACCCAAGAACTCAGCAAAATGACCTGGCTCAGCTAAGAACCCAAACCCTTAGACCTGGAATTAACCATTAGGCCACCATGCCTCCTTCCAGTAAATCCTTACTTGTGAGTTAACCCTTGTGAATTTGATTATCTGATACTTCAAATTCCCTCACCTTCTTGAAAAAAAAGAGAAAAAAGAAAAACTTATATATTTTTGTTTCTTATAGGGTCATTTTCTTCAATACTTTAACTTCTTTAAATTTTTGCGATATGATGACATCATTAGTTGTCTTATCCTGAGAATATAACATTATATACTTGCAATAATCCCTTGGTGATGATTTTCTTTTGCTTTTGGCTAAAAACAGTGGAAAAAGTAAACAAAGATCTTTAGTTTACCCACCCAAAAAGGAATAACTAAAAACTTTTTCCATGGTTGCAGATAGTCCAGGCAAAGCATTAAGAGATGCTCTTAAAGAAGGTGTTTTACCACTAGACAGGATTCTTCTTGAAAGTGATGCTCCTTATATGATTCCAAATGCTCCTGAGAAGGAGTTGGACGATGTATGCAAATCACTTCTTAAAAGGTGTCAGCCAGGACGGAATGAGCCTTGTACTCTTCCTATTGTGGCCCACACTGTTGCAAAATGTCTTGGGGTTGATGCTGAAGAGGTAGCACGAGCATCGACTGAAAATGCAAGGCGGGTTTTTGACCTGAAGTTACCTGTTCCTACCACACAACCTGCACCCACTGCCATTGGGTCTGAATAAATGCTGCATTGTACAAAGACAATAAAAACTACTGCACATAGTCTAAGTATATAACATGTATCTATCTCTTTCAGAATGAACATTATGATACATGTAGTCATGCTTAGGCAGTTGGTTATTATCTATGCAGGAAGGATTGGTAGTAAAGGCTCTTTCCTTCTTAATTAAAGCAGAATTAAGTCATTATTCATGCTAAACCTGCTGCCAGACCTTCAGAGAAGTTTTCACTGGTGGTACCTGCTTTACAATTCCCCAACTTAATATTTTTTTTGTCTTAAAAATGCCATTTGTTGTCTAAAAAATCCAATCAGACATGGAAGTGGAAAGGAAGTATTTGAAAGATTAGTAATCTGTTACTTTACTAGGTCATTTTTGACAGAGTAAAGTGAAAATGCAAGACGAAGTCAGGAGTTATGCTGACTGATTATTGTGCAATAGAATTAACCCTTTAACTCCCTGATTAAATTTGTAATTCTCCTTACTGTCAACCATGCAATTTTTATGTTCAGAGAATTTAGTATTGGATCAACCAATTATCCATAAAGTTATATTTTTCTTTATTCTCATCACTTATCTGATTGATATTGTAATGATAATTTAAGGAGAAATTCTGTCTTGATCACTCATGGGAGTCACAGGGTTAATGCAGGGTCTCAATGATTATTGCAACACGTTTTAAATTTATCCTCATTTATAGCCAAGGTAAGGAATATTTTGACCCATTAATAGGTTAAGTATAAACAGTAACAATTTTGACAGAGTTAAAAAGTGCAATTGAAGAGTATATTCGAAAGTTAACTGAAAACTATAGATAACAATGTTTCAAAGATGTTTAATATAATGTTTTGTTTGTTTACAAAAGTTAAAAAGTTGAAAAGAAAGAAAAAGCACCATCTACAGAATGCAGTTAACCATCTTTTCAGTCTTGTAGAGCTAGAATATTTCTTAAGGTGTCAGGATTTTGCTTTTTTCTACAGACAGTTGTGTTTGCTAATGTACTGTGTATTCCATCCAAGCAGATATTTAAGTATCATCCATACAAAAGGTGTTTTTGTTAAATATGAAAAGAAAGCAACCATTAAACTTTGGTGTCAGTTTTAAATCTTGGCTTACTTAATCTATTATCTCTATTATTGTCAGTGGCATGTGAATCCAAAGAGGCTGAATTGTTACTCTTGTTACCTCTGGTTGCTGCAAAGTAAGTTGCTTTGTTAAAAAAAAATGTGAAATAATTATTTTTATTACAGGTATTAAACATTGTTGATGTTTAAAGTGAAAGTTGAATTTTATAGATAAGCAACATGGTGTAATTTTTCTCAACAGATTTGTATGCTTGTGAGGGTTTTTGTTTTTTTTCTGTGCCTACTGTTAGAGTTGTTTGCTCCATGATTTATCTCCCCTCCTTTTGAATATAGTGGAAAACTGAATCTCTAGTTATTGTCAGTGAAGTTTTTTTTAGTTAGGACATTTGGATGAAACTGAAATTTTTAAATTATGTCTGATATTGCAAAGAGAAGATCCAAAGCATTCCTATATAGAAACATTGAGTATTCCCTGAAAAGTAAAATGCCCCTTTGGAATTTGAAGTGGTGGAAGATTCTATAGTGTGTCTTTACTCAGGAATGATCTCAATTTCCTTTATAGTAGGTGTTTATTTCATCAAAAATGCAAATTAATTACAGCATACAACAAAAGGGTCTAAACATAGCTGCTTAAAATTCTAACTTTCTTAAGATGGATTGGACAAAAGATACATCAACAAAGCCTATCTCCATATCCATGTGGTAACCTTTTACATCCTAACATCAGTCTGCAGATTCTCCATACTGTTCCCATATGTTATCTAGGGTGTTGATGAGGAGACTTTGTTTAACAATCAAAAGCATCTTAAGTTGGAGATTATTTCCTTTATTCTGGTGTTAATGTTTGATTCAGGGGTGACATTGAAAAGGAAAATAAGATGCAAGTCACTCTTGGGAGTCAAAGTGTGGATAGAATGCTATACAGAAGAGCAACTTTAAATTAAGTTTTTAAACCATCTTTAGTTTGTCTTTTCAAAAGATAAAACTCATTAGCTAAAAGATGTTTGTGAACTCTTACCTGTTTCCAATGTTTGGTCATTTTTTTTTTAAATTTGTGTTTGGCATTATAGTGCGAATTTGATATTGGCTTAAACAACTTCTTCAAAACCGTAACAGAAATGTTGTACATGCCAGTACCAACGCTGGCAGTTAAATGTTGAAAATACATCTCTTATTTTCTTCCATTAAACACAAGAAGTTAACTTTAATTTTCACTTGAGGTCAGTAAAATTTTTCTTGCATATCTCTTGACAAATGCACAATGATTAGGTTTGAAGTTCTTGAAACACCAATGAAAACTTTGAAACACAAGGTACATCTAGGGGGGAAAACCAAAGGTCCAACTTCTCATTAACCTTGATGTTCAGTTCTTAAAGTGAGAAACTGTCAGAGGAAATCTTCTCTCAGAAATGTTGCCTTCTTTTCTAGCCACGTGGTTAGTGGTCACCAGTTATTTTCTAAAAAGGCTCTTGGGATCGCTGAGGGTTCAAATTCAGTGCTGATGGGTTATAAGAAAAACCCTACAAAACAAATCAATTAAATTAGTAAAAGACCCTTCACTAACTTAGGCTTTAGATTTAGATAAAACTGTCATCTTTTTGTGTTGTAACCCTTTTATCAGTTGCTCTTGGTACCTTACGGCTTAACATCAATATGTATATTCTCCTTACTGTTCTCTATACATTACCTTTTGTACTGACAGGGAGAATGTGCTTTATAGTTAATAGGTCCGTTAGTTACCGATCATTTCTTTAATTCTCATGACCTAAAATGTTTGATTCAGCATTCAATCTGCAAGATAAATATGCAGCTAGTCACTGCTAGGGGTTAAAAGGTAAGTATTACCTGAGAGTAAGGTGCAATGTAGTTAGGAGAATCCATTGGTGGATAACCCAAGTACCACTTCGGCTGTTCCGGGATCACCATTCTGTGAAACCCCTGGGGATTGATGGTGACGTTGGGTGGGGCACCAGGACTCAAATTCTGCATCCGTGGGGAGCAGTGTAGGTAACCAAAGTAAGGAAGGGGTGGATTAGACAGGTTTGTGCATTCAGGGAAATGTCTTGACTGCTCTTTTGCAAAGCCAGGAGAACTCCGTTTGGTATCCAAAACTCCTCCCGTGTTTACTGTTTTCGGCAGATAGCTCACTGTGGGGGTTGGATCATGTCCTGAGAATGATTAAAAAGAAACACCATCTATGTTAACAACCGAAGTCTAACAAGGGTAATGAATCAGTTGACCACCACGTGTCTACGACTCAGATTCACCCTATTTCTTTTGAAATCCTTCAGTCTGTGTAAAGTCTGAAGTCGATTGCCAGCCGCTTGTCGCAAAGCTTTCTCTGTGTTTCTTCAATCTTTTTTTTCCCTTTTTTATTTACCATGTTATAAAATTAACTGCAACTGTTGGCGGTGTTGTTTTTCAGCTTGTTACCGACATATCATTCCTAGCAGCCAGAAGTCTCATGAAAATCTCGTTGAAAATTAAAGTGAATTGAAGTTAATGTTCGTCATTCTGCTAAGTTTAGTTAGTTTGTTTCTTTTTTTTACTGTGAACTTGAGGAAAAAGACAAAATACGAATGATTTTTATCTGCATTGGAGAGTTTTTGTCGGTGTCCAGACAGCTCGGCCTCAGTACGTGCCCACACTAGATAATGATAACGAACGGTCGAAAGTTCATAGAGCACGAAGCAAAGACCATTCATAAATCGTTACTCTTGTTTGCGATGCGAATATTTTATTGTTAACATTTGATTTAGATCGCACGTTTTAATGAGTGATTTGGATCGATTAACAATTTGATTTGAGCTGATGACCAGCAATTAATGGACACCTTTTTTGAAGGGAATGGATACGCAAACGCATTTTCTCTTCATTTATATTGTCCATGTCGCATCGTGTAAATGCTGTTTTCTTTTCAGGATGTTTACACTTAACCTGTACTTTTGTTAGTCAGTGCCTTATTTTCTTTTTTTTTTTGGAGCATGATTTATAAGGAAAGAACTCCAAAGTAACTTAACTCATTACCAACACATATCAACTGTAAACAACGAACCATTTCCTTGTGAGAGCGAAGTGGGATGGGCATCCGCTTTGGCAGGTTCAATAAAGGGTTCCTCCATGTTTTTTTTCTCGGCAACATCTGCCTGTTTAGTTTTCTTTGCAGTTTTTTTCTTCTTGGACGATTTCTCTCTGACTCCCTCTGTTTGACTTTCCGGTTTCATCGAAACCAAGCGTCTCTCCAAAATTAAAATACAGTGCTTGCAGTTGCACATCTTGTAGGGGCATACATTTCTATGGCCCTTCAAAGGTACGGGGTATATACCGTGGTTACGACAGCGCGTGCATTTGGGCTTCTGCCTTGAATCCGATCCTTTGTCTGAACAGGAGGATTTGGAGAGCATGATATTGGCCACTTACAGTTAGTGCAGAGAAGAAATACCACACCGACGAATCTTGTAGGAGGAATGAACAGAACCACGAGACAAAGCTTTGAAATGGCACTTTCAAAATTTGATTGACAGTTTGCAGCGGTTGTTTCGATCTGAAGGTTCCCAGAAGTACTCCAAAATTGGACGAACTTTAGACCTCTAAGGTCAGTGTTAAAGATTCCATCAGCAACTTGAAGGCACATAATACTTAACGTTTTTTATTTCTAATTATTTTTAATAAAATTTTATTCAGTTGATCTCTTTTGGTAAACAACTCCTTATTTGGTGAAAGGAAGCCCTTTCACTGCTTGTGGTGCAGGGTACAAATTGATGTTTTTCTTAAATTGCTCGTTGTGTAAGTAGATGCGTTCATGAGCTTAACCATTACACAAACACGATTCTTTAAAGGGAAAGTTCTATACCTTTTGAACTGACCGAGAAAAGTTTCCGGTGATAGCACCTTGCGCCAAAAACGTACTTAGACAGATAAGACTCGTGTCTGTTACCACAAGATCGGCAGAATTGAGACTGCAAAACAATTAAATTAAGTTTGCAAGCGAGATGGTTTTCGCTCAGGGATCGTTGTTTTAACCTTTTAAATATAATATTTGACGGAGTTACCTAAACTATGATAGTAATGGAACGACTTAAAAACTTTTTTAAAATCATTTCCATAAACATTTTTATTTACACCTTTGAGTAGTCGGCTACCTCGATAAGTTTCATTGAAATTGAGTTTGTTTCAGAAAGTTCTCAGCAGCTCTATCACTTTTCGTGGCAAATCTTCGAAAATTTCTACATAATTTTAACTAATTCGCTTCAAACCTCTTTAGATCAACAAGGCAGGTTAGAAGGCGTAGACACTAATGACGTCACAGACAGTTACCGGTTCACCTTTATCTGCTGTTTTTCTGTTAAGATTTTTTTTTATACGGTGATAAAAAATTCAGGTAGGTATTACATTTTTTCGAGCGGGAAAAAAGTTAGCCAGCGTTGCTTTCCCCTGCAATTTGTTTTCAACCCAGCGAAGCCTGCATCTTAACGATTGCGATAACACTATACTTTCTGACTGACCTTTCAACTCAGGAAAAACGTTACAAAAAGATAGTAATGTTTTCCAAAAGGTGTATCATTCTAAACTCCTCTAGCTGTTTCCATCTTTGGGTAGTAAACATAGAGTGCACGCCAAGCACTATGACTACGTTGTTCAATTGCTGAAAAACGTTGCCAGTTGTTGAGACTGACCCGTGGGAAATTAGAAACAATTTAGTGCTGTCTCTGTTAACAGTGATAGTTCTCTAGAAATCATCAAGTCTCTGCATCTATAGTCTATTCTCTGAGCCCGAAAAATAAAGAGAACCATCTGTTCACATTGTGATGCTAAACCGGGTTGTATCTGTATACCACTTCGGCCCGCTCCTCTGGAAGAAAACAGCCCGATCTGTGTGACAATACTGTCACTGGGGAAAAAATCAAACGCACTTTCTTTTACAATAATAATTTTATTTGGAAGACTGCAAGTAAATCCTTGAAACAAGTTCCGTGCATAAATCAAGTCGTTCCGAGTTGAAAAACAATTTGCAGAAAAGAACAAAAAGTGGTCACTTTAGTGACATGGCGTCCTTCCCCGCCGTGTCTATCGGGTGTTTCTCGGAAAGGTAAACTGTTGACGACGAGCGTGCCTCGCATGGTCATCGTAAAAATGAAGAGAAAGAAGGAAAATTACTTAAAGAACACACTTTGTCCATGAGAGATGGCAAAGATCGCACTTCATGCGTGAAATAACTTTACCCTTCCTTCCCCTTGTGCGCTACCCATACAGGCTTCAACTTGTCACGCGTCACAATAGAGTTATCTTTCAATAGAGTACAGTATAGGGTAAAAAAAAAAGCCGCTTCGTTTTTCTTTCTCCTCTTTTGGATTCATTTCTTCTTCTTTTTTGCTCTTTTTTCTGGAAGGTGATCTTGAGCGGGATCTCGATCGCTTCTTTCGGGACGAGTTTCTCTTAGAAGGTGAGCCACTTCGTGACCTGGAACGTTTACGCCTCTGCTTGCTGCCGGGAGAGCGACTTCGGGATCGGGACCTTGCTCGCCCGCGGGATGAGCTCCGGCTGCGGGATCGCGATCTTGACCGTTTGGAATTCGAAGGCGAAGGTGTGCGTGACTCGTAATGCTTCAACGACTAAGAACAGAAAAAAAGAAATTATTAGGCGGATGTTTAATAAACAAGGCTGGCGGGTTAATGTTGATCGTTTCAAAATCCACTGAAAATTTTTTTCAAGAATCTTCACGCCAAAGTATCAGAACCTGTAGGGAAGTAGTCAAGGGCGATCCGCTCCTCTCGGGAGATCTCGAGGTCGAACGACTCTCAGAGGACTGGGACCGCCGAGTTCGCTTTTTGGCAGAAGGGGACTTAGATCGACTCCGAGACTTCTTCCGGCGAGAGTCGGATGGTGAATTTGTGTGGCTGCTTCCTTTCTTCTTCTTATCTTTTACTTCTTTTGGTTCAATAGCCTAATAAATAGAAGTAGTAAGAGACTGAGGTTGAAAGCTAAAATTGCCAAGAAGAGAGAAAAAAATGTAATGAAGTGGGTAGAGTTGTTTGCTATATGAGGGCATCACTCACTTCCAGTAACTTGGCTCTGAACACATCACACTGTTGAGCAATGTCGCTCGCTCCTTTTGCTTCCAGTTTCTGGGCATACGTTGCAACTTTGAGTTCGATTTCTCGAAGCTTTTTCCGTCTGCTTTCGTCAATTTCCGCTACTCGAGGGGTCTCTGCGGAGGCAGCTGAAGGCTCCTCGGGTCTTTTCGGAGAATCGTCTTTGATGGCGGGTCTAAACGAACGTATCATGAAAGTCCTTATTTAAATCTTATCAATTTGAAAGCGAGGCTGGCTTTTTTTGCGCCAAAATACACAAGACCTCTTCTATGAAAAGAATATGATTTGGAACCTCATCCCTCGTGTGCATATTACTCACTCTGGTAAAGGCTCCCGCTCTTCAACCGTCTCCCATTCAGGTCGATCCCATTTTGACGCAACGTGAGGAACATCTGAAAGAAATAAATGATACAGAAAAATGAGAATGGGATTGTAAGGGAGTCCCTGTGCATTAGAGAATGAGTCAAAAAGGAAATATAACTATAAATCGCCGGAAAATGGTCAGGCAGACTTCTTTAGAGAAGAGTTTCTCTGGTAAGGATTGTCCAAATCAGCAAGTCTATCAACTTAACCGTGCAAAAAATGCATTAATTATTATTATTATTATTATTATTATTATCATTATTATTATTATTATTATTTTTATTATCATCATCATCATCATTACCATTATTATTACAGCCAGCTCACTACTACTCGTTTAAATCACTAAATACAATTTTGCCGAAACAATATAAACTGTCTTTAATCTAATATGAACACTGGTAGCCTAGAAAACTAACAACAACTTGTCAAAATCGCTTTGAAGCTAAGGTGAACATTATATTAATTATTTTTAATAATAATAAAGAAACATGGAAACGCAGGAAAAAGTACAAAAATCTCGTGAAATCCTGACCTTTATCTCGCGACTTGTCGGAACTCTTTTTGCCGTCCACTGAGGTAAGGAAAAAAAGAGGTCACGTGTTTTGAACAAATTCTCCGAAGTAACATCATAAGAATTGTATAACAGATAGTAAGGAGAGTTACTAGCGAGATCTTGGGAGTGAAACAGTTAATAATCCACTTACTCGGCTTTCCGTCAATATCATCACTGGATAGAGGAACTCCGTCGATATCAGTCTGTTTAATCGGGAAGCCATCCATATCGCTTGATCTGATTGGGACGCCATCCACGTCACTTGACTTGATGGGCAGACCATCGATGTCGAGTGGTTTTCCGTCCAGATCGGCCTTGCTTTCAGTAAAAGCCTCTTCGGTAGCCTGGAGTAGAACAAAAATCAAGAAATGACAAAAGGTGGACTCTTTATCACTAAGTGACTTGCGTCAATTTTCTACTCTCAGTGTCATCCCTGAATCAAACAATTAAAGTCAAGGGAACGAGGAAATGATTTCCAATTAAGCTCTTGATTGTTACACAAATTCTCCCAGATGGTACCAAAGCAAATATGCGGAGAACATTATGGAGAATATGCGTACTGTTAAGGTGTAAATGGTTGATTCTCACGGAGCTTGGACCCAGACCTCTCGTTCGGAATCTTAGACAATTTAATTACCAAAAATGTAAAAACCTAAGGAATGAATGACAGCAGACTTGTGTAAGGTTTGTACAAAGTTTACCTCTGGTTGACTCGGTCTTTCGTTGTTACCCAAAAACACGTTCTCCAAATCAAACAAAAAATCGGGAGTATACACAGCCCAGTCCATCCACGCTGCAAGACAGCGAAGAACTTGTTTCTGAAAATAAAAATAATATAAATTTTTATTTTTTCCATGTCGTCCACTGGTCAATGATCATACCAAAGAACATGCCAGTCTAACTGTACAAGGCAAGCTTTCTTAGTCCTCTATGGCGTTTCATTGCTTGCCGGCTTTAGGGTTTCAGAGGAAAAGACTGAAGGGTTGTAAAAACATAATTCATGTAAACTCACCTTGAAGTTTTCTGCTTTCATACGAGCATTTATAGATTTGAAAGAGACACTTAAGTGACCAAATATGTCTGGGAGGAGAGTCTGAAATCTGAAAAGGAAATTGTAAATATCTCATTCTAAAGTACATTTGTGAGCAAAATTTAATCTTTCTTTTTAATACACGGGAGAAGGACATTTATGTTCCTACAGAGAAGATGAATAAGGTTCCTTACCCTTTTCTGTAATAGGACACATTTGGTACTTTGACAGAGCAGTTGTGCAGAATGTCTGACACCAGGTACAGCCTTGCGACCTACAGAGGCAAATGTCACTCAGATTCAGCACAAAAATGATGAAGAAAACTGGAATGGATGAAGACTTTGAAGTCAAACACAAGTAGGCTTGTTACTCCTTTCTAAAGTAAAGTTATTCCCTTCTAAAGTAACTGATGGTAAATTCTATGTGGGACTTGAGCTCACAATGAGATATTCATAGTTCAAAATTGTCTCTTTTCTTCTTGGGACAACCCTTTTCTCCTCTCTCGTGGAACACACACATCCAATTCACCCTACATAGTGGAAATGTTGGCATTCTACTTACCTTAACTTGCAGAGGGGTCTGCAAAATTGACAGTGACTCAGCAATACATTCAACAACCTGATTGAACACAGTAAAGAGACTTAATAAAACTTTGCATATGTGAAAAAAAAAATGTAAAATATAGTTAGGACCAAATTAGAGCATCAATTTACTGGGCATAATTTATTATTTCCAGTAATTACAAGTATTTGGTCATTCTCTTGTCAAAATTAGACTACAATGGGTTGCTTTTGTTACTTTTGCCTTTTGACAAAATAGGAAAGTTAGTATTTTCCTTAACAAAAGGAATTTGGTGATGTGCCAAGAAAAAAGGAAAAACTCTCGATAGTTCTGAATCATTCTTTCGAAAAACTCTTTTAAATAATACACAAAGACAGATTGTGGATATAGACAAAATAATATTTCACACTCTTTTAAACAGCTGATGCTTATTTGGATCAATCATGAGAGGAAAACCATAGCATAATTTCTAATTTACCTCCTCTGCACAGTCTGCATGATCAACACAAAACACCATACATCTGGAAATTTTTATCCTTTCTGGAGTTAAATCCCTCAGCATGTCTTCCAACTTGTCGCGCTGCCTGCAACCACAAAAATTTTCCCAAAAATAGATTTCTACTTAAGAGATCCTTGCAGCTAAGAACACTACTGAAACGAGTAGTTGTAAATAGGACCTGGCAATTTGGCAATTCATTGACCAGCTCCCAGTTGGCTTGTTAGCTCAATTGGTAGAGCGCTGCACCGGTATCGCAGAGGTCATGGGTTCATATCCCATACGGGCCTGAATTTTTTTCAGGTCCTATTTACAACTACTCGTTTCAGTAGTGTTCTTAGCTGCGAGGATCTCTTAATTTCATCTTTCCCACCGCAGTGCAAATATGTGAATTTTCAGATTTCTACTTTATACCAAAACAAATTCACCACATTTTTTCAAACCAAAACTCTTTTTTGCTTTTTGCCCTACCCTCCCCTGTCACTTCTCTATTGATGTATCCCTTATTTCAAGATTACCAGAAAGAATTACAAGTATAACACAACTTAATTGTCTACTCTGTCCTTGTTGTACACGTGCGCCAGAAAATCTTATTCTGTGTCATCAAAAGAGCCAGGCATTGCATCTGTATACATGTCTCAGTTTTGTGAAACATAAACAATTGATTAATCATGATTGTTGTCAGAGATTGAAAAATATTACTTCAAAAGACAAAACGCCACTGATAAATGCAACATCCATATGCTAAAAATCAAATATGTGCCCCATGAGGTGTACAGTACTACTCAAAGTAGGTTGACAGGCTCAACTTAAAACTCTATATTTAAAACCATCAAGAATTGTGTATTGAGACTCAAGAATCAGATATCAAGGATCGAGACACTCAAAGAACTTTACAAGAATTGTGATCCACAGTTTTGAGGAAACTATTTAATTCTCCCACACATAGCAACAGCTACAAACAAAGCACTTGGCACTGCTTCTCTTTTGTATAAGGAGTTAAAATAAAGTTTTCTATGATCCTAGGCCTTATACTGTCAGATGGGCAGAGATCTTACCTATTGGATAGAGAACACTTCCTACTACTTGATGTTGTGGATGCTGATGCAGTATGACTACTGCTGTGACTGCTACTTGAGCTGTGTGATGATGATGGTGCAGTTGTTGATGTCTGTGACGTTGATGGTGCAATGGGTGTTTCTACTTGAGGCACAGGTTGTTTATTGGCATTAAAAGCTGCTGCACTCATGGTGTACTGATGACACTGAGGTGGTTTCCACAAAGAGCCATTATTAAACATTCTAAATTTTTCTGTCCGCCATTTTGTAGGGGAATCACCCTGTAAGTGAATTGAGACAAAAAGGAGTATTGTGATTGAATGTTGGAAAAAAAAAAAAAAACAAAAAAAAAAAACTTAGAGGGTTGGGGAAGAGCTAATCAAAGAAAAGGAAATACCAAAAGCAGCCAATGAACACGCAAAGAATAAACAAGCAAGAACATTGCTTATACAGAGCAAACCAGAACAAACCTGGAGAATGGAAAACAGCTTCCACCGATAGTAGATATGTTCTGGACAATGATTGTCAAACAAGAACCTACAAACAGAGATTCAGAAAACAACAAATTTAACCCTTTCAATCCCTGAAGTGATTAATATGTAACGTCTCCTTATAATATCCATACATTATTCCACAAACAGGTCATGGGAATACTCCAAATTATCAGCTAGAAGTTGTTACCTTGATCTAACACCAAATTCTCAGAACTAATTTATAAGGAAATATGTGACAGCCAGAGGGGAGAATTAACAATATGATCTTGAAGGGTTACAAAAGAACAAGTTTGTGTGGACCCATCTTCAATTTCAAGATGATTAAGGAATATCAGTTTTTCAAAACAGAAAAGCAATAAAAGAAGTGCAAAAAAATACAAAAAAGGAATAAAAGTGAGTACTATGGATGAACAGGAATGATGTTATACTCAATGACAAATTATGAAACTGCAATAATTTGAGCTGAATTTCCAAGACATGCGAGCTGTAATTCAGAAGATAATATTCAATCACCTGTACATTGGGTTGTTCAGTTCCTTGTTCATGATCATGGCCTCAAACATGGGTCCCTCACGCACGACAAATTCAACCATACGGTGTACGAGGCACAGGAGGTTCCTGTGGGAATTACAGTGGTTACCACAACAACAAACAACATGTGAAAGTTAGTGACTATCACTGTGAAATCAAACATGGTAAGATGAACATCTTCACCTCAAAGCTGATTAAAAAAAGTGAGTTTTTTTTTCTTCTATGGAACTGAATGCATCCTACATGTAGAGCTAATTAAATATGGCTAATTTTTCAGCTTGTGTGAATAAGCACACAAATGAAGAAAACATAGGAAATGGTTTACAAGTACTTTCTAAAGAATTAAGAATAGTATCCCATGGGGCAACTTATTTTAAATGACTTTGGCAAACAAGGCACAGAAACCTTGAAGCACTCAAGCAAAAGCTTCCCAGCAAAAACACCACTCAACTAAATAAATGTTTATATGATACAAAACAAAAGAAAAAAAGTCCTTGAAAATGGCTTGAGCAAGCCACTAAACTTAAAGTATTACTTCCGGATCTGACAAGGTGGTGCTACACAACAAATTCCAAACATTTAAGAATATACAAAGCTGTTAAGACTTGTTAAGTACAATTTTATGAAATTGGAAGAGATTGTTGTAGGCATGTATAAAATACTTGTGGTACTCAACTTTCAGGAACATAATAGTGTTACAGAGATTATAGAGAGAGTAAAGAACATAATTTTTATATTTTTTGGTTGCAGTTAGATTTTAATCATATAACATATTGTTTAATTCACCAAAAATGCCAAAAAGGAATAAAAAATGGAAGAAGCAAGAAAAAACTTTGTATTAGATGTACAGTGTACACCTGTACAGAGGCTTTCTAAATCAAATAACAGGGTGTAAATAATCTACAAAACAACAAAAATGTACAGACATCATATGTATGATGTGTAATATTTATCAAGCCTGGCATGGAGAGGTCACTCAAGAAACATACCAGCAGCCAGTGATTATTCCACAAGGGAATGAAAAAACAACAGTGAATTTTCATAGAAAAGGTACCTTTCCGTCGGGATTACAACTTTCACGACCGCATTGGCTAAGGTCTAAGAGACAATTGCCAAAGACTTTGTGAGTATTAAACAAAACAGCTAATAAGATTTAACCTACAGTTAACATAAATACAAATTGTGAATCTGTAACAGCTGATTGGAATGTAAGTTAAAGGGTGCATGCATGCTCTGGCGCTCTCCATTTTGATAAATTCAAAATACTTGCCCCAAGAATTTCAAATAAACATGAAATATGTGGAGAAAAGATAAGAGAATTGTTCACTATGTCACAAAAATATATTTTTTCTTGATTTAGCAGTTTTTTGAACACAAAAAAGGAACACCATGAAGATATACTTTCCTTAATTAGAAAATAGTTCAAAAGAAACAATTCTTACATCACATGAAAAAATCAAGACTCACAGGAAAAAACCTGATGATGAGTTGGTCCCATGAAAAGTTTTATACGGTTTTTGGTTTAGAATAAAAAAAAAGAGGACTTTTTCCTTTCATTCAACTTACAGTATTCTCACAAAGGCACAGACAGAGATAACAATACAATAATTAATAATTATATATAAATAAATGAATATGTAAAACTTATATACTGACAGCACATTACAAATGACAAAACCACTTTGTACATGTAATAAAAAATATCATGCATTAAATATTCATACATGGGAAAAAAAACAATTACAGAGGAGTTATGAACATGTAAGTATTGCGATTCCCTAGGCTACTTCATACAAACTCTGAATTCATGGATAAACCATTATCTGAAGCTCACCTCCTTATTAAAACCATTTGCATCAAGATTGCGCTTGCCTTCCTCGGCACCCCCCTGTGGGGGAGGAGCACTGGAGTAGTCATCTTTCTTTTTATCAGGTTGAGCATTAAAAGGCAACCCTGATTGGGGTGGTGGGGTAGTGTCTTCTTGCATCTCTGGGGGAATATAGATAGGATGGGGTGGTAGAGGAACACTTTTTCCCCAACCTAGTTTCATCTCATAGGACATGACTTCTTTCCCTGTGATCAGAAGTAAAAGAAATTCATAAACCAAAAAGGGTTTTTAGTGACAACAATGTTTTCAAAAGGGGTGCTTTGTTAACATAGTATTGAGCTCTTTTGTGACAGCCAATAATCATTTAAACATTAGAGTGATGAGAAAGAATAAAGTTATCTCTTATCTCTTGACAGAATTTCAGAGAAACTTATAGTACAGTAAATAAAATAAGAGAGGTGGTAAGTTTTGAGCTTGAACCTCAGACCTTCAGATTCTACACTTCAATGCTCTACTACTGAGCCACAGAGACTCTAGCATGAGCAAGGTCTATTATGAGGTTCATATATATAAACAGAATACCAGTTAAGTGTGGAATCCAAAGGTCTGAGGTTCCATTCCTCGTGGGGACTCAGAATTTTTTCTTTGTTCCACGCTTGTGACTGGACAAAAAACATCTTTCCCTATAGAGTGCACTGTTGCTTGAAATGGGAGGGGGAGGGGGAGGGGGAGGTGGGTGGGTTTAAATCAGAAATTATTATTAAGATACATTGTTCTCAAGAATACACCTTCTTTAAGAATTTGAATGTTTGCTTTAAACCCAAAACCTTCAGCTCTAAGATGAAGAAAATCCCTATGAAACTAAATATTTTTCAATAAAATCTAACCTTTTAGAGCATTAAGAGCTTTTTCTCCATCCTTTCTCCTCATGTAAGCAACAAAACCACAATTTCTGTTGCGAGCCTTCTCCTCCTCAGTCCTAGGCCACATGATTTTAACACTGGCCAGAGGTCCATACTTGCCAAACAGTCGCATTAACATCTCCTCTGTCATCTAAAAAATGAAGAAACAGCATAAGGGTGAATCATACAGACCTTTTGAAACTAGGACCAGTTCTAGCTTTGGATTATCTTTTCAGTAACATACTCTAACAATGTTCTTCATGAAGCTTCATAAAACTCTTTATGAGCAACAATGCTTGTAAGATTATTGCTTTTTTATATAAATCAGGCCTGTCCTGATTGAGAAATGATTATATGGCTTCACAAAAACATATCTTAACCCTTTAACCACTGTAGGAGTGATTAGCATCTAATTTCTCCTAACCCCTGAATCACTCATTAGGGTCAAGAGACTATAAGGAAATGATCACTAACTAATGAAGTCCTGGATTGTTAAACAATTTCTCCCTGTCATCACCTTATGAAATGTGTAGAGAAAAGTATGGAGAATTAACTTACTGCTGGATTGATGTTTCCAATGTAAAGATTTGTTGTGTTGGGATCTCCAGTATCATGTGATCCATATGAATAACCTTCCTCTACAAATATAAACAAATCAATTACTGGTTGTAATTCATTGGGAATGAAGGAAGCAAAATGTTTGTTTCTGATCCTTGTCGCATGTTTTGTCTTCAATATAAAGGAGAAATTCACAATGACAGCCACAGACCAAAGATAAATGGAACCAATCCTGTTAAATTTAAAATTTTTTTCTGAACTTCTGAATTGATCTAAATTTGGTAACTATATACTTTATCACCCAAAACTATTAGTCCATACCTTTGGAAGGTGCAAGAAGAGATGGTGCCATATTTTCTAAGACATCTCTGGGAATATCAGCTAGATCACCCTTCTTGATCTTGTGCCTTATCTCCCTTTCCTTCTGTTGTCTGAACAAAAAGAGACAAAAAATCATAAAAGCATACATGCCTGTAAGAATAAATACAATTACTCTCACATACATTTAACAATAACTTTATTTACCTTTTTAATTCTTCCTTAAACAGTTCTAAATTGCTCTTCTTCTTTTCTTTCTCTTTGCCTTTTTTCTTAACAGACTCCTGAAAAAAAGAACAGAAAATGCAAAACGTTTGATTGCCAGTGGAGAGTACAGTACTGCTCAGATATATGTTAACTACACAGGGAAGGTCAGACACGCATATACAATTTTTATGTGCACAAGGACAAAAACATGCACAACTTTTTTGCCTTTGTTATTCAGTGCTACAAGTTTCCTATGTGTTGCACTGCACATTTCCATTTACTGTAGCATAATGCAACAAGCAATATGGTATATAACATTCCTCTGACAATTAAAGTACTGTTAACACTCGCGGGAGGAGAGATGCACTGTGGAGAATCCATCTAAGTCTCTTGCCCAAAGATAACTAACACTTCAACTCCCATGAGTGACCAAGAGAGAATTTCTCTTTTCCATATCAATGTAATATCAAGCAGACAAGTGATAAGAATAAAGAAAAATAGCGATTAGGGGGATTTTTAGTTAATCCAATACCAAATTCTCCAAACTAACATCACAAGAATTATATGGTAGATAGTAAGGAGAATTGCTAATGAGATCTTCAGAGTGAAAGGGTTATGCTAGCCACAAGACCACTATACATAAAATTAAAACTGAATACACACCACTTTGGGAGCTACCAATTCAGTCTTGATTTTCTCTTCCATAACAGTAGCAGATATCTTTGCCATTGGCTTGTATAGAGCTCCAGCCTGTGCCGAAGCAGTCTCCTCTGTAAAACATTCACAAACATCAGCAACAAAATCGAACAACCTCAGCAATTAAAATACATATCAAACAACCCATACTTATAAAATAATTCAAATAGTATGCGCGCTCTGATTGGCTATAAAACCATTTTACATGAGCATACGTAAACACAGTTTTCGTTCCTCTTTCACTAGTCATTTTTATAAAGAAATGTAAAATGGTTTCCATGTTTACATAGCCTGATGTAAACACTTGGGAGGTTGGGAGAACACTCCGTAAGCTGGAAACCACTCCACTTTGCATCGTGGTTTCCTACGCTTACCTCGTGTTCTCCCAACCTCCCACGTGTTTACATCAGGTTATGTAAACATGGAAACCATTTTACATTTCTTCACTACAAAATAGTGAAGAAAATCGAAGTGGGAGGAAAAGAAACATTAAGATAAATTCTTCACTTTACCCTTTAGCTCCCAGAAGTAATTAACTGTAACTTCTTCCTATAGCATCCATATACACTGTATCATCCAGCAAATTGGTATTGAGAATATTAAAACTTTTAAGTTACAAGATATTATATTGATCTCACTGGTAGTGAGAAAACTCTTATCAGGTATGAGATATTATATTGACCCGACACCAAATTCTCATAACCAACTCACAAGGAAATGTGTAGCAGCTAGAGGAAAGAATTAATTGATTGAACAAAGGAAATGACTAGAGAACATATATATACATGTACACGAACAAGAAAAACAGTACCATGAATTATAGCACAGCCAATTAGATATTACATATTATAACTGGAGTAAAATTAGACACAAAATAACAATTATGATTTTATAAATTTATTGATTAAAGTATAAAGTACCCTCTTGCATCGAAATGTTCTTTAACTGTCTATGAAATACTCTTTTAAATTTATCTTTAGGTAGAGAACAAAGACAGATAAATAAGTCTACTATTTATTTGGAATAATAAATACACGAATCAGTTTTGAAATAATTTTACCTTTTGTTTCCGGGTTGATTGTATTGCCGCGCACAAAAGTCTTCCCAGCCACCCGAGCATCTTCAAATGAAGCAACAAAATCTGCAAACACTTCAGCACACTCTGATTCTGCTTTCTAAAAAACAGAGACAATTATAACTTTGACAAAGTATTCAAGAACTGAAATTAAAACTGTCCTGTTACAAGAGTTATTTTAACATTGCTAATCCAGGTAGTTAGCTGGACACTTGTCCAGAATATTGCTAATAAATGGTCTTATTGGTCAACTGATTTGCCAACAAGTTAGCTGAAGATCAGAGCATCCAAATAACACATTAACACTAGAGAGGGACATGGATTTTTCTCTATCCCCTTGCAACACATGATTTACAGCTTCCTTCAATCTAATATAACCTCCCCTCTTTTCAGAAACCCTTGTGAACAAAACAAACTTGAAACCTGTGGAATATTTTGTATGATTCCTGTGAACTTCACCAAACTGAAAACGTCTGATAATGCATGCTGCACGAAATGCAACTTGCTTGATTTGCTACCCACCACAGGGATTGCAAAATATCCAAAAAGACAACCATCTCAGGAGCATGCTCAACAAACACATGAAAATTTTGAACCAAATATATGGAGAGGCTAAATACAACAAATACTCAGGTAAATGTAACATTACCCCTGAAGGAGATTAAAACAACTGGATTGATTAAATACGTACATTGCCAGAGTTGACAATATAGCTCTTTCCAATGCTACCTTAAAAGGCTTTTTGAAAATCACTCACTTTCCATTCCTGATCAACAAACTCTTCTTGTATCCTTCAACATCTTACCATAAAATCTTACACTATGCATCATATGAATATTTACACATAGCCTCTTCATTTCTAAAACATCCTTCAAATGTCAAGTTCCATTAAAAATATACTTGCAAAATCTGGCTTTCAGTTGCAGCGTCTTAAATCTCTAGTAAATCGTACCGACAATTTTTCTGCTTTCTTACGATCTAGGATATTCTACTGTACAAAATCACAATTAAGTGAGACCTTTTTTCTTCTCATCAGAATCTAGCTTTGATCTGGCGGGTTTCTTCAGTCCAGCGTTCATCATTCCAACAGAGAAGGACTTCAACTTGCTCTCAGAAATTGTCTGCAAGGAATACATCCATTGCAAAGCGTTACTTTGACGATGAAACATCGATATCTTGAATTCCAAATCAATTGCTAATTAAAACGAGAGAACAGATGTTAAATTTCAGCTTACCTTCATAGATCCTGGGGTTAACCCTTCTGGGGTCAAACCCCACGGCAGATTCTTGTCAGGCTCTGATTTTTTCGCAGCCATTACATGTTGGATTGTGGTTGAGAATCGACCCGACGTGCTTTGTTCTAAAAGATGACTACGCATGACCGAAGCAACGAATGCCTTTACAAAGCAATAAGTCTCAAAAAATTTGCAAGTTTGGTATGTAGCGGCCCGGCTAGCTCAGTCGGTAGAGCATGAGACTCTTAATCTCAGGGTCGTGGGTTCGAGCCCCACGTTGGGCGCTGATCTTTTCTATTCTCTTTTTCTTTTTTTTCGGTTTCCAAATCTTAATCTTAGAATATTTTTCTCCCTTTGCCAGATTATTTCAAAGGACTGGAAAGTAAAAAAATTAACAATTTAACCATCGCTGCTTGGTTGTGGACCCAAAAAAGCTCAATACAATCACCCGTGGAGTCTCGAATGACAAAACTTTGATTTCCTTGCTAAGGATTTCCAATCACTGGGCTCATACGTACGTTTCTCTTTTCCATCCCTACCCCCATTCTCGCTGGTCACTTTTTTGTGCGTTTTCGTTTCTTTTCTTTTTTCCTTTTTGGCTCGTTTTCGACCATGCACTCGCGCGCCTCACGCTTCCTTCGCTTGAGTAAGACTCAATCACGCACGTTTACGTTAAGAAAAACCGACCTTGATCATCTCTTTATGATCCTTTATTTTTCCACAGTGCTTTAACTCAACAAGGAGATTGCTATTTCCTTGATTATACAACTCGCCGAAACGCTGTTATTTCATCATAGCTGTTCTCTCAGCTTTCAAGATCAGCGACTAATGATCTAAACAAGAGAATTTTGTTCAATAATTTTATGTTTGTCTCTTTTTAAAACTGCTTGCAACTGACGATTCGGCGAGTAACATTTCACTGATATGCAAAAAGGGAATAGAAGTGCTCTCATTTAACAGCTTGAAGTGCAGGTCTGTCGGGTAAAAAGGAACTAAACCCACGATCAGCGCCGGGCGTGTATCTGAAAATCTGCAGAAAAAAAAAATCATGCCGTGTATTTTAAACATCATTATTTTATTTGTAACAAATGCATAAAAAATTTGATGGGGAAAGATACCTTAGGCACTCTACACTTTCTCTATTACGGTTACTGGTCACTTCGCTGACATATCAACTCGTAACAACCAATTTGCCAACACTATTAGTCAACTTGCAGATGTACCTTTGGTTAACTCTCAGACACCACCTTAATTAAGCCTAAAACTTAACAAAAGAGGGTTGACCGGGTATGTCAGCTAGACGAATGTGGATGTTGGCGAGGTACTGACCACGGATGTCAGCAAAGTTACCAGTAGGTCACAAAGTTGAACAATTTCTTATCATTATTACTATGCACTACCGATATGCATCAAACCATTGGTCACCTTTAACATGGGCGCAACATTCAAAAACACATTCCCAATAAATTAACTTGCCTTTTCTTTACAGAATCCATAATGATTTTACTGGCTTTTCTTGACATATCACAGAATAAATGAAAATAATACAGTTTCTGGCACTGCAAGAAATAAACAACACTAACCTTTTAATTATTTGTGTCAATATCTATTAATTGCTACTGTGTTAGCTTCTATTAATGTACAGAAGCCTTTCATGATAACTAGCTTTGCAAAAGTTGAGTCAGTCTACTAAACTAAAATTTCATTGTTTTGATTCACCTTTTCAAACAATGAGATGACTGTTTGAGGAGCTACTGTCAAAGGGCCTCCTTTAGCAATAATGCACACTCGTTGAAGATGTTTTAATTCTCCAAGTGACAGTAAGAATGACTCATTGATCCTAAATGCTTTCTGTTGAAATCTGGGAAACAAAATAAGATTTCCAACTATTATCAGCATGAAATTCTAAACACTGCTAAGCCATTAAGGTCATGAGAATAAAGGAAATGATCACCACATGAAGAAGCTCTTGATTATTTAATGAATTCTCCTTGTCTGCACGTTAGCAAATGTAAAGAGAACAGTATAGAGAATGTGCATATTGATTTTAGGCTGTACAGGGTTAAATAGGAGTTAGTGCCCCTTGCCCCCAAAACAGGAACGAGGGACTGAAAACCTGAACCTAAAATGGCTTGCCTGAAATCCCCCTTGTTTTGTCAGGCAATCTGGCAAGAGTTGGACAAAAACATGTTAATTTATGCTTGTGTATCTCCCAATGACCTTATGCTCCTTCCTTGAATAGAAGTGTTTCAATAGATACATTTCCCTGTTGGTGATAAAACTTTTACATAAGAGTTCACCTGAAATCTCGAAGTTGATGACAACAAGAAAGTGCCTGTTGCAGAAGTGCTACATTCCCTGAATGGCTGAGATTCTCAAGGTTTGCAAGGGATAGAAATTGAAGATTACTGCAGTTCTGTGTGATGGTAACTAAGAATTTCAAACTTCCTTTTGTATATGGCACTAAAAAGTAGCAATTGAAATCATAGTATTATTAACTGAAAATCTTAAATGATTAGGTTACACTTTAATTAAGGATTTGCTTACTTGTGATATTACATTTGAAAATTTGGAAATAAAATTATCCTCAGGATGTCTACTAAAGACACCACATTAGATATTTCACATGATTATGTACCTACTTTAACATGATTTAGAATCTAGTGCTGTCCTAATGTTTTCTAAGCATGGTTTTAATGTAGATTTTTGACAAATCCTTTTCAAATAACTTTACAACCAGGCTTTTAGACAGTATAAATTTTGGGTTAAGATTGAAATAAAGTTGAAAGCTCTGTAAATGTTAAGTCCTAAACTTTCATGCATTTACTATTTGGCACTTCATGTACCAGTGGCCTTTACATGCATAAATTGAGCTAAAAAACAAATTAGTTCTCGATCACTTCATGGGAATATACTATTAACAATTATCATTTTTTTCCAAGTTTGTGAATGGAAAAATATCTATTTTATCACAATTGGCAGTAATGGTGCTATCTGATTGGCCAGTTTGCCATTGTTGATGAAAGCGCAGAGAACCCTGCTCACATCAATGTGTCATACAATGCCTTTATCAGCTCTCAAACATGGATGACTTAGACATTTTGACGATGATATTCTGGTAAAAAACAAATCCACAGTGGCTAGGTGTGGTCTGTGTTCTTATGGACAACAATGTTCATCATCACAATAGTCAAAATATCATGGTCTCACAAGGCACAGCCAAGTTAGTCTGCAACATTTTGACCACTGCGATTACAAACATCATGGTCAGTAAGAGTGCAGACCACACTATGCCACTGTCGATTTGCTTTTTATCACTGATGATATCAACCTCAAAATTTGCAAACACCAGAACTGATTAGTATGTTAATCAGTCCTGGGAGTTAAGGAGCTACACCTAGTTTGAGTCATATCTGAGGAACAAACCTGAAAGAGTAAGCCTTTGCAGGTGTTTCCAATTAGCAATTGGTAGGAGACTGTCAAATGTACCCCTTCTTGCATCACATGTTGGTCTGGATGGTGAAAAAATTGTAATAGTAAGGATTATTGTTATCAAAAGTCTGCCATCACTAAACAAGCTGACAGGGTTTGCCTTACAGGCATAATCATAGGAAAAGAAATGGTGCTAATATTTGGAATGCCAAAGAGTAAATATGAAAACAATTGAGTCAAGAGCTCTGTACATTGTGCTCACAAAGTATGCCTTTTCCATTTTCTAACCATGTGTTGGTGTGATTCTGAAATAAAAAGTAACTTACTGGTACAAGGTTGGACGGTAGCTAAGCTCTCTGTCATGACGTGAGGGAAACCAAAGTTCAAAGTCTGTCATTCCAGTGCATTCTTGGGTAAGAAAAACAAAATGGTTCTGCAATTTGGTGGCTGGGTCAGTGCTTGACTGAGAGTTTTTAAGATTCTGTCCATGACATACTCTTCTGTTTGCCTTGAGTATACTTCCTTTAGAACTAGTCTTTGCACCTTCTGTGTCATCACTTGAGACTTGATGTGTCACACATGTGCAGAGGCTGAGAGAAACCAGATGGGCGAATTTTGAGATGACTTTGATGCAACTGTTTGATTCCTCCTGGGATGTTTGATCATAATGTACTCCATTGAGGTTCAACTCAGCCATTTTTGGACACAATAAAGCCAGTGATTCCAGTCCTTGAATCTTCAATAAAAATATATCAATTTGTCAAAAAATGACAATAGAAGCAGCATTAACACCTCACTTCCTCAAAAATGTATCTATGATGAGAGTTTAGTGATTAAGAAAATCAAATTTTTCCCTGAACTCCTAGAAGTGATTAACATGTTACTTCCTTGTACAAAATTCATACATTATTAGCAAATAAGTAATGAGAGTACTAATAAACTTGTTGGGTAGAAGTTATTATCTTGATCTCACACCAAATTCTCATGTCCTTTCATACAAGGAAATGTGTGACAGCTAGAGGGGAGATAAACAATCAGATCTTGGGAGTTAAATTAAATCCTTTAACTCCCAAGATATAATTGTTAACTGTCCCTTTTGGCTGCTACACATCTCCTTGTAAATTAGTCAGAAGAATTGGCTGTTAGATTAAGATATAAACTTCTACCTGATAAGTTTGAGTATTCCCTTTACCTGTTTGCTAGATAATGTATTAATATTATAGGAAGAGGTTACATTTTAATCACTTCTGGGAGTTAAAGGGTTAAAGAGAAAACAGACTCACTGGTGTGAAGCAATTTGAGCAATTTTGTAAGTTGAGAATCTCCAAGTTTGGTGAAGAAGTTGCAATGACTTGAAGAAAATGGCCAGAAATGACAAAACCAGAAAGATTCAAATACACCAGTGCCTGCCACTGCATACTAAGAATTGTCATAAGACAATCTACATCATATTCGTTTAAAGCCAAGGCCCCCAACTTCAAGTTGACAATAGATGACCTGTTTCCCACAGTTTTCATAAATTTTTCACAAATGTCACGGTTTCTGTCAAGAAATTGAAAACTGGAGGGTACAATAAATGTATGGAAAGTTCCACTTTCCAACCCATGATTGATTGACTTCCTTGCTTCTCCAATAACACTGAGACCTGCAAAATCAATTTCTGTCTCTCTCCTGCAAAACTGGATTTCACTTCCTTCAATGGAAAGTTTGGGACAATGGGACCTGTAGCTACCTGATGCATCAATCCACTGCAAGGTAAATGCCTTCAAATGAAGTTCACTGCAAATAATCGGAATTCCCTGATTCACAATGAGGGCGGTCACATAAATGTTTGGAAGCCGGATTGTCAGACTATCCAAACCTTTAAAAGCTTCTGAAAGTCCACTGCAGAAAGAGAGCAATAATCCATGGAATACCCCTAAGGTATATCCCTCCAAATGAGAGCCTATGGGTAAATCCTTTTCATTCATAGACCATGCAAGCGTTTTAAGGTTATCATTGAGTTTTAAAAGAGAACAAAGTGTTTTTTTGGTAACACTACAACCAAGTAAGTTGAGAGATGTTAATTTTCGGCACTTTTGCAGTGTACTGGAAAGAAGAGCTCCTTTAATCCAATAGCATTCTTGTAGATTCAGCTCTTGTAGTGAGTGTTTAAACTTGCTGATGTAGTTGCAGATGAAACCGGAGGATAGATGTTGCTTCCCATGAAAGTTGACGCACCTGAAAACAAAAGATGCGCACAAAATTGAACTTACTGCTGTAATAGAAGTAAAAGTTAATTTATTAATTATGAGGAGTTTTGGTCCTCTCGAGCTACTTCGTTAGCATTAAATAACCTGTGAAGTTGAGGGATTATTGCAAGTTTACGCCAGCAGCGGTTCACTCTTGACAAAGAAATAAGCTCCAATGGTTCAATGTTTTGAAATATCAAAAGCAACACTTCTTCCGGAAGATACTCCATCTTGGATTATTTCGCTGAAAACAATACTTCACGTAATGGACATGTAATATCCTTAATAGTTTAGAAGTGTTTCTCCCAGATTCTCACGGTCATCATGGCGGCCTTGTCAAGCGAGGTGATCGCGCAAAGTTTTTCAATTACTAGCAAGCGCCGTTGTAAGGAAAAGTGATGTCTGTTGTTGCTCATGTTACTGATGCAGGTGAGCCACCTGAAGCCTGTAAAGTTGAAAATGTGAAAGACTGTTCAATTCTTTCTCAAAACACTACATCTGATCCAGAAAATGAAGAGGCGATATTAATAGAGGAGGCAACAAGTAGTGTAGTCGAGAACAATGATGTCACACAGAAGATTAAAGTTCTCACGGAACATCAGATTTCTATGGATTTTGAGCACGATGTTACTCGAAATGAATATGATGAAGATAAAACATGTGATAAAAACTTGTTAAACTCAAAATTGAGTGTTCAGAAAGAGGGCTCTAATTATGTTTGCGAGCTTAATAGCAGGAGCACTCAAGAACAAACGTCTCAAGATCAGGAAGAAGTGGACGAGATTCGCGAGAACTATTTTAATCAAGAAGAAAAGGAAGGTGTTAATGATTCAAAACCAAAAAGTTGCGGCGAGGAAGCTGATGACACCATAGAAGGAATGGAATCAGATGACACTCCCAGGTACCAAATGTTTTATTTGTCACTTATTTACTAGTCTTGTGTACTGTATCAATCAGTCCTGGCTACAGAGAGCACTTTGATTGGTTGATAGCCATGTCATATCTCATATCCTGTCTTGCTCTGTGTGGCATGAAGTGATGAGGAGGAGTGCTACTCTTCAAGTGTGGTATGCTATTCAATAGCATGTAGCTTTCCCACCACCCCCCTCCTCTTCTTGCAATTTATCATGAATCCCTGAAGGTTTTCTAAAGCCCATCTACAGGGGTAGATCTGGGCATACTTGAAAGGGGGGGGGGGCTAAACTTTGATAAAATACCCCCTTACGAGAAGTAATATGTAAGAATTCTGGATTCAGACAAATAATGAAAAGAAAAAAAACCTACAGTTCCAATGGGAGAGGGGTGAGAGGGAGAAAGACTGAACCCTTCCCCTCTCAATCCTCCATTGCATTTATGGTCTTCAATAGAGAAAGGCTCAAAGAGAGATGTTTTGATCCACGGTTTAGCATGGTGACCACCATGTTTCTCCTAGATTATACCCTTCCACAACAAGAGATAATTGATCACCATGTGATTCAGCATAAGGTATCCCCCCATTTCCCCCTTTGCATTGTCGATGGCTATTAAAGCAGTACCCTGGGAAAAACTTTAATGAACAACATTGTATTGGGTAAGGGGCAGCTTTTAGTTGTTTTTTTTTGCACTAGATTTGTTACTGACCATCTGGAAAAGTTGGTAAATGCACTTTTTCCTCAAGGTGTGTCAACATTTTTGCAACTAGTTGTAGCTTGGCTTTACCTGATTTTAGAAAGGAAAAAAAATGCATTTTTTTCTCCTTCAGGTACTTTGCAGTTCATTATAACTTTAATATTGTACCGCAACAAGTAACAGGAGCTTGGGAAGACTTCAGTTGCTCAGCTTCAAACTTTCTCAAGGGTTGCAAATGGTAAGCATGGTCAAGGGGAGAGGAATTCCATTCTAATGGTGTGATATACAGACAGTGCTCCTCAACTGTTCTTGGACATTCTAAGTCCTGTATGGATTTGTTGTATGATTTTTGAATAAAACTCATGTATACTCTAAATTATTTAATCTTTGAAGCATAGTAGCTGGTCTAGCTGTCAGTCTGAAGTGCATCTTGTTGTCCTCAGTGTTAATGCCAGTCTATCACAAATTAGTAAGGGGGATAAGTTGCTAAAGAAACTGTGGTGCTGTATCAGTGGGAGAGAATAACAAGGTAATTTAATATTTTTAACTGAGTTGATAATGTAAATTGACCACCATAAAGAGTTTCAAAGCTGATGTTTCAAACTTCAGCCCTTCATCAGAGTGAATGGAGGAACTTTTGGTTGTGTGTGTGTTTATACTCGGAAAATATTAACACACACAGAACCCACAATTCCTCCATTCACTCTGATGTAGGGCTGACATTTAAAATGTCAGCTTTGAAACTTGTTACAGTGGCCAATGTATGTTACCAACTCAGCTGATAATACTAAATTGCCCAATCAGAAATTAGATTTGTAACCCTTTAGTCTGTCATGCAGTTTCTTTTTTAGCAATTTGCTGATATCCAATTATACTTCCAGGTAGAGAGAGGCATTTTGAGATAAAAATGTGTCATCTAAGAACACGTTGCCGTGATTAGGTTAGGGTTGAGTTTGATCACCAGCTGCTATGTGGAAAATGAGCTTGTGCTCCTCCCCCAAAAAGAGGGTGGAATGAAGAGTGCTCTCAAGGGAGTTGTAGAAATTTGTTGGAACAGAACTCCAGCCTGAACCCAGTGATCCTGAACCTACATTTTTTTATTATAATTATTCAGCCATTACATATGTCTGCCTAATTTACTGTGGGCTTGATTTTCATTTTTGTGTTCTTATCTAAGGTCTCCTGATGGTGCATGTTTACTGACAAACAGTGATGACAACACCCTCAGGATATTTAACCTTTCCATGGAATTGTACAGTGGGAATGCTGTACAAGGTTTATCAGAAATGGTATCTAATAATCTGTTATTTTTGTCTCTATATGAATACAAGTTGTTTTCAACAATGACACAACTGACTCTTACTTTTCCACAGCCAAAATATACATACATGTATATATTTTTTATTTATTATTATGAATACAAGTTGTTCTCAACAATGACACAACTGACACTTACTTTTCCATAGCCAAAATATACATACATACATATATTTTTTTATTTTCAATGAATAAATCACTTTCTAGGAAAAGTATTTTTAGTAGTGGTGGTCAAAAAATCATTGTGTATTAACTGCTTTGCTCTATACCTTTAATAAAACTTTGGAAATTAATCACAATAATTATTGTTTAACAATGAAAACATAGCCACTTGACATTCTTGTTTTTCTTTAAGGTATCAGTGTTACAGATGCAGGAGGGAGAGACAGTTTATGACTACTGTTGGTATCCATTTATGTCATCTCTTGATCCTGACACTTGCTGGTATGATACTCATCACTTGAAAGATTCTTAGATCCTAAATACATTACACCTGGAAATCATAACATAAGTATGAGTCAGAATGAATGATAGGGAGCCTTGTTCCTTACAGGGAAAAATGTCTGTGGTTATTCTCTTAATTAATTTGTGTCCTTCATAATTGGAATTGTCATGATTATGTACCTTTCTTTGCATGTGTGAGAGGTAATGCTTTGTAAGGGTGGGTTGAGGTGCACAGTCAGATTGAAATTTTTCATAGATGGATCTGAGGCCCTCATGAGGTGTACCTCAAGATGTATGGTTAATAAAATTTATCCACCCTATTCAAGTGAACCAAAGGCCTAGGATATACCAGCTAACTTTTTTTATTCAAAGGCATGAGATTTCTATCCACAATGTTAACAACTGATATTATTATTCTGATATTATTTGTGTGTTTATTAATTTTACTTTTAAGTTACTAAGTTAAACACACTTTTCTAAAGATTTCTCTCAATTAAGGCTTTGATAGTTCAACTATTCTGCCGAGTCTTCAGCAAGTCAATCAGCCATCACAAGCTATTTTGGGACCAAAGTTTGCAATCTTGGGGGTCTACAATGTCCTTCCTAAGATAAGACAGTTGCCTTATAAAGCCTTTAGTCTTGATTTTATGTAAACATAAAACTCAGGTTTACAGCTCTGAATAAATTAGATCTTGATAATTACGTCATCACAGCTTCCTGAGCAGTAGCCGTGACCATCCTCTCCACATGTGGGATGCTTTCACAGGAGCAATAAGATGCACCTACAGAACTTACAATCACTTGGTAAATGATAGTTCATGTCAATAACTATTTCCTCTGTTAAATGAGGAAAGGGGGTAATTTTCTAAAGCAACTGTGGTGCTGTGTTGGTGAGAGAGTATAAAAGGGGAAATTTAGTATAATCAACTGAGTTGATAACATAAATTGGCCACCATAAAGAGTTTGAAAGCAACATGTAACTCTGGAAAAGTCTGCTTTGAAACTCTTTAAGGTGGCCAATTAATGTTATCAACTCAGTTGATAATACTAAATTACCCTATTTGCTCTGTTAGCCTGAAATAATGGCTTTATAGCTAATTTGAATGTAGTTTTTGACACAGTGTTGGCCAGCATTATCTATTGGTAGTAATGAATAAAGGGGTAAGTTTCTAAAGAATCTGTGGTGCTGCGTCGGTGGGAGTAGGAGTATAGCAGGTAATTTAGTGTTAACAACTGGGTTGAAAAACGTAAATTAGCCACCGTAAAGGGTAAAAAAGCTGACGTTTCGAGTGTTAGCGTCAATAGCTCTGACGAAGGGCTAACACTCGAAACGTCAGCTTTTTTACCCTTTACGGTGGCTAATTTACATTTTCAACCCAGTTGTTAACGCTAAATTACCTGCTATTGGTAGTAATGATTCACTAACACTTAACTTAACTGTTGTTTGTGAGTTTCATTAAATATGATTGATACTTAAAAATCTGTAGCTACTGAAATATTTTTTACTGTACAGATTTCATTGTCCCCTTGGTAAAATTGATAGTACTTGAACATAGCATTTTTTGAGAAAAAATTGATTTATTAAAATCTATAATTTCTTTCTCCCTTGGTATTTCAATTGAGACAAATAAAAGGTTATGTTTTTATCATTTAATTTTTTTCTGCTAGGATGAGGTGGTTTCAGCAAATTGTGTGTCATTCAACCTGGATGGCAGTCAAATCTATTGCGGCTTCAACAAGATGGTCAGAGTTTTTGATACAACAAGACCTGGGAGAGACTTTCAGGAAAGACAAACCACAGGTCTGTACTGTGTATTGTATTTTAGTCACTGTCAGTGACAACTTTATTTAGCAATGTATAGTGTAATATAACCCTATTGATACTAAGATTCTTGATAGAGGAAAAAGTGGTTGTATCATTTTAGTGAAGTTCTGCAATTATGTGAAGCCTTCAAGAGCTTTTTAGGGAGCACTTTGGTTTAGGGTCTATTTGTTATTAAACTCTTGCTCATGGTGAGTTGAAAGACTTCTATTGAAAAGCATTTTGGAGCTCAGATTCTCTGCTGAAGGCTACTGACACCTTTAGATCAGATTGTCCATACTGAAAATGCATAAATATAATGTCATTTTTTGCAGTTAAAAAGGAAGGTCAGGGTGGAATCATCTCTTGTATTGCATTCAGTCCTGACAGTTCTGGAATGTATGCTTTGGGATCTTACTCAAAATCAGGTACCATGATTCTATGGAAATATGAAATTACAGGCTGGAATGATGTCTGAGTGAGGAAACTTACCTTCAAGTGTTCCCAGGCATGGTCCTATAATTATTTTCATTTGAAATTATTAAAAGTTTTTTCCTTGTTTGCCAGTTGGTGTTTACTCTGATACAGATGGTGAACTTATTTTCCTACTCCAAGGACAGCAGGGTGGAATCACCCATGTTATGTTCTCTCCTGATGGGACAAAGATCTACAGTGGTGGCAGGAAGGTACTGATTAGTTTACCCTTAAACATTAACTTATTGTCCATTTTTCACATGCACACCCAATAAAATAGCATAATTAGAAATGTAAACATGTCCTATTTCTTCCATGCACCTGTTTATTTCCACAGGACAATGAAATTCTTTGTTGGGATGTAAGAAATCCTGGAAAAGTTCTGTACTCCATGATACGCTCAGTGGATACAAATCAGAGAGTTTATTTTGACATTGACAGGTACCATCGTAATAATAATCTTGACAAAGTGTAAGAATATCTTGCTTCTTGTTTCCTAGATCTTGCTCAGTTTTTTTTTCCCACCTGTAGTGAATGCACTGGTAAATTTCCAGACAGTTACTCATACCATACAATTTATTCGAAACCAGTGGTTTCTGAAACATGATTAACATAAATTACACTACAACCAACTACTGCAATAATAATACAATAATTACGATTACAAAGTGAAACATCAAACAGCAAAGACAAAGCAAAACATACCTGATGGTTTGATGAAGAGAGTACACGAAATGCCATAAAGAAACAATGAAAGGACAGCAAACTGAATAACATACTGTTCTTTTTCATGCCAAAATTTAAACATATACATATGGGTTTGGAGACTGAAGCCTAGTTGGCAGGTAAAACACTGCCCCTGAATTTGTTGTACCACCCTTTCAAAGCAAAACATCCTCACTAAGACATAAACAGACTTCAGCAACACCCACAAATGAGATCAGAGAGGCTGATGATGAAAGTGTTTGTGATCTGCACATTGTGCTTCCTGCCCTTCGGGTTGTATTTAAGGGTGTTGTGCATGTATAGTCAGGTTACTGAGCTTGTTTCAAAATGGCACCTTACATGGCTCAATTATTACCACATTTAAAGACAATTCTTGAAAGGTTAAGGTACTCAACTTTGGAATACCAATATTGGATGAAAAGACTTGTTTCTTTGGATATGTGATAATGGCAGAGACAACAAATTTAGTGTTTCTGCAGCATATCTCTTGTTTAACATTTTTTCCTGCGGTTTCCTTACCTGTCTCCTGACCCCATCCCTCCCCCCACCAAACTTGTTCTTCTCATTCTTCTAAACCTTGTTTGAAATTTTTTTGATACAGATCTGGGCAATACATAATTTCTGGAAATGGTGATGGTATTGTCACTGTCTGGGATTCAACTCTTTCACCAGTTGATGATAGCTCAACAACAGAAGCTATATTACAACCTGTCATGACATTTGTTGGACATGGAGACTTGATAAATGGGGCCTGGTATCTATTGATTTTAAATACTTCCAAATTGATAATCATTACAGACATGATCCTTTGTACCAACTGTAGATATCATAGGATAAATTGATACAAATTTTGGCAGGTTTCTTTTTTCCAATTTCATTGCATTTTTAAGGCCAAAAAAAGGTGGTGATATTAAATAAATGAAACTTTGGAAAGAGTGCAAATAGAGGATGCTTTTTAAAGTTTTTTTTAATTGAAATAGTGGTTTTAATTTTCAGTAATTATTTCTGTTAGAGGTTTACTTTGATCTATCAATTGAAATTGTTTTCCTTTTTAACAGTTTCCATCCTAGTCTCCCTCTTCTGGCCACAACCTCAGGACAACGTCACTTTGAAGAGCCTGGGAATGACAGTGATGATGAAAATGCAATAGACCAAGAAACAAAGATTCAAGGTGATAACTCACTGCGAATCTGGGCAGCTGGTGAACAAGAAGTGACTGTTGAAGTGGGTTAACAAATTAATAGAGTACCATGGGTAATGTCAGTAAATAATGTCTCTTTTCACGGGAGCATACACAGTATGGTATGATATGGATATGGATGTACAAGGAGTGCTTTAAGGTGACAATGGACGAATGGAAGGAAAAAGATAGGGAAATAATGATGAGTAGTACAAATTTGTGACTAAAGGGACTAACATGTCTCATGGTGGATCTCAAGTTGACTTAACCAAACATGAAAGCTTACTAAAACAGATGGCTTCACAGCATTGTCTAGTGAAAACTTTGACAAAAGAAATGTTAGGCTGAGTGAGGAAATTACCAAGAACCTTCCTTGCATCAAACATTTCCCCAAGGACTAAAGAAATAAAATTTTGTTTCTGTATTATCAAGGACATCAGGTGGTGTAGTATAGGTTCGTGATTATATACTGTTATTGTTATTTTAATAAATACTCAAACAACGAAAAGAGACTAAAGGATTTTTTGATATTACAACGAAGTACATAAAACTATTTGTTTCTGTTGGTTAATACTCTTGGTAGAACATCAGTTGTACTTAATATAAATTGTCAAATTCTTGTTTTTATGCTAAGAGGCTCCCTTGCCCTTTCAATTCTAAGATCAAGACATTACTTCTCTTTATTGCCTGCGGTACATTTTCTTTCACTTCTTACTCTAAGAACTTTTTATGTAATCAAACATGACACTTGCAATTGGTGTATTGTTTTTCTTTCTTATCATCACCATACTGTTTCAAAATATATTGATATCAAAAGGCGAAATTCCTTTTGATCATGTTGGAAAATGAAAGGGATAACTGTATTAAGAATTGTAAAAATTTGTGTCAGCTTCTAAGCTCTAATTCTTGGATTTCCTTTATGAGTGATGCCTCTGCTGCCATCTTATCAAGCTGTAAGAAGTCAAAGGAAACTGCAGTCAGTTGTTATTAAGAAAAATTATAAAATAACTACAATAATGCAGAGACGTTTTCAGCCAATGTAGTGTTGTCCATGGGGAGGATGAAGATCCATAAGGGCTAAAACCTGAATCCCTTTCATAAAAACCATTTTTCAAGTACTTCAAGTTACTCTGCTTACTTTGATAATATTTTATTCAATAATCTATCCCATAATCCATAGCAGACCTGATTTTTTTCCAGTGTTTTTCCAGATCTCTGTTGCTCCTTCAGGTCTTCAATCTGACGCAATTTCTGAGCAGAAAATGAAGTTAAAAAGATTCAGCAATCATTATAAGGGTTGTATTCCCAAAAATTGGTCAAAGACCTTATTCAGAAGTGACAGCAATTTTTTACTTCTTTTTTTTTTTCATTGTAAATAATCGTATTATAGAAACCACAGAAAATAATACCAATTCAATCGATTCTGATGTATGAGAGTATTCTTCACTACTTTCTGTCATAGCCTGGACCTCCTAATAAGATGAGTAACCTACTTGTTGGTAAATTTAGACAGGTAGACAATATTGATGACCATTATGAAATTATTGTGTCTCATATGGAAATCTCCAAGGATTGATTGATTGATTCCCATTTTTGGTGATGTGTTTGTTCAAATTTTTTTGTTGAAGGTATTCTTTTTGATTAATTGACAACACAGAACACATTTTAGTGATTTTGTGTTTTGTTGTGTTGGCTGTGGGATAAAGTGATATTTTACCTTTTTCAAATTTCTTAGCTTCTTTTCTTTCTCTGGTGGAAGAGTTGTATCAGCTACTGGTGGTGATGCTGGTGATGATGGAGGAAGTTTTGACCTCACTGCCTGAAACATTAATATCCAAGCTTGATGTTGTTGAACAGTTGTATATGTTGTGCCCCCAATGATGATTGTATGCCTTGCTACCCAAACTAAAAAACTAAACCAAACTAAAAACAAACTCTGACGAAGGGCTAATGCTTGAAACGTCAGCTTTTTTACCCTTTACGGCAGCTAATTTATGTTTTCAACCCAGTTGTTAACACTAAATTACCTGCTATACTCTCCCACCAACGCAGCACCACAGTTTCTTTAGAAACTTACCCCTTTAAACTAAAAAACTGGCAGGCATATGGACAGATGGATCAAAGGAAGGACAGGAAGATGGAGAGAAAGACAGGGAGGTGGACAGACAGAGAAGCAGACAGACAAACAGATAGGCAGACAAGCAGATAGACAGAAAGACAGACAGAGAGAGAAGCAGACAGACTGACAGACAGACAGAAAGGCTGAAAGAGGCTGTTAGACAAACAAACAAGCAGATAGAAAGACAGGCAGATAGACAAACAGATAGAGAGGCAGACAGACCAACAAACAGATTGACAGAAAGAGACGCTGACAGATGCAGACAGATAAACAGACAGGCAGATGGACAGACAAGTAGAGAAGCAGACAGACAGACAAACAGAGAGGCTTACTTCTTAGCCAACCAAAAAGATGACATGTAAATTAGCAAATGTACACTTAGATAGACAAGGAGAAGGGTTAAGAGATTTGCTAATTGCCTGACTGAACAACTCTATGCGATAAATGTACAGATGGAGATTCACAAAGATGTCTCGTCCATTGGTTGTACTTCATTTCAGCAGTGTAATTCATTTTTATCCATGATGTGACAGAGTAATGGAAAAATGATCACCTCAATTGGGGTTTGAATTAATAACTGATCAGGATTAAGGGATTTTCAGGGCTCATCTGGTCAGGGTTTATAACAGTTGTGAAATGTTGAAGTTGGACAGACTACCTCCTGAGTAGCAACTTCCTGTTCTTGCTTTGCTCTTGCTTTGGCCTCTCTTTTTTTCTTATTTTTAGCTGCTGATTTTGAGATTTCCTGGCCTTCCTTTGGCTTCATATTTTCTGCAGGTTCATTCTCATGCTAAAATGAAATTAAGAATTCAAAATAAATGGCCTGCTCTCAAGCTTAACAGCCCACTCCATAGGCTAGAACATATCCCACTTTCCATAATGTGAAGATATTAAGAGTATTGTTGCCATTCCCATGGTCCATTGCAGGTTACTTTCCCCCACCCCACCCTACCAGTACCCATCTACACTCCTTGGTGTGAAGAGAGGCACTGAGAGAGTTTGACCCTTATATTCCAAACATCAGTGTGTATATTCTCCATACTGTTCTCTATACATTTTTTAAGGTGCAGACAAGGAGAATTAGCTTAATGATCCAGAGCTTCTGTAGTTGTTGATAATTTTGATTATTCTCAGAACTTTTGTGTGTGATTCAGTGGTGATATTGTAAGGAGAAATTAGATGTTAGTCATTCTTAGGGGTTAAAGCTTTTGATCCAGAGTCCTCCATATTAACCATGACATCACCATGTCTCCCACACTATTATCAACCCTTTACACCTCAACATCAGTATCCATATTCTCATACTCTTCTTTATACATTTCCTTTAGTACTGACAAGGAGAATTTGTTTAGCAATCAAAGCTTCTTTGGTTGGTGATCATTTCCTTTATTCTCATGATCTTAATGAATGATTCAGCTGTATTACCATAGGGAGAAATTAGGTGCTAATCACTCTCGGGGTTTAAAAGGGTTAATGATAGAATAATCACAACATGGAGATCTCTTCAAAGATATTCAGACTAGAACAAATTGTCTCACCACTTTTACTGAAGGTGCCAATCCTCTGAGACCAGGAGGTCGATAAACATCTTTAGCTGGAGAGATAAATACCTGGATGTAAGACATATACTTAACCCTCTCACTCCTACAATCTGATAGTCAATTCTCCCCTCTATCCACCACATATTTTCTTATAAATAAGTTATGAGAATTTGGTGTTAGATTGAGATAACAACTTAACCTGATAAGTTTGAATATTCTCAATATTAATTCAAGCTATAAGAGAAGTTACATGTTAACACTTTGAGGGTTTTTCTGTTGTTCAATTGTGTTGTGAAGGTTTTATAAAACTGCATGACACATTTAAGTTTTTCATTGGCTCCTAAATAAACTGTTTTTCCATCTGGAACAGGTTGAGACTTAACCTGTTGTTCCAGAAAAAAAATTGACAAAAGGATCCAAAAAATTAAGCCAAAAAAAAAAGGATTCAGTGATCAAAAAAAAATTGCATAAATCATGGTGCACATTAACAGTGAAAGATGTTTTACCTCCCAAAGTTCACTAACTCTTCTTTCATCTAACAGCTTTCCTGTATAATGCCACAGTTTGTACCTGAAAATAAACAGTGGTTGAAGACAAGTGAAAAAGTACAATTTAGGCTAAGTTAGATAACAACATCACAAAAATGTTAGCTAAAGGGCACATAAAATCAATTGTTTGAACTCAACAACAGTATCAGTGAGATCCTGTTTTGGAACAGTTAACCCTTAAATTCAAACTTACCCATTTCCTTCTCTGAGCCTTGGAGATGTTGTTGCAGTCAAAATATGTTCACCATCTGGACACCATTCAAAATATGTAGAGTCACTTGCCTGTAAAATTAACATTGCCAAGGAGGTAACTATGGGTTACATGTTTATCACCAGGAGTAGTGAGAACAGAGCAAACAAGGATAAACACAGATTGTCAATCTCAGATTAAAATTCTATATATATAAAAAAAAAGAAATCAATGAAAAGTTGAATGATAATTCTTTTCCTAAATCAAAATTACCTGAGGTTTGCTAATTAGCTTAAAATCTTTTCTACTCCACATTTCCTGGCAAAGAAAAAGAGAAAAAAACATTCATCCAAGAAATTCCTCTTTTCTTAACTTTTTATTATTCTGTAACTGACAAGAAATTCAGAATAAAATTTTAAAAAATTGTTTTCTAAAAACTTAGACACTGGTTTTACCCCAGTTCTGTAGTTGCTATTAACTTTACAAAGACTATATGATCAACTTACCAACTGGCCTCTAAGATTTCCAAACCCAGCCAGGCAGATAAGTATGATAAGTTAAGACCAACAACAAAAGGTATCATCCAACATCTTTAATTAAATTCAGAATGAATGCATAAGGTGGTAACACTGTTCTGTTTGTCCAAAATTGATTGTTAGACTCAGTTTCAATTTGACATTTAGGAAAGACAAAGTAATGACTCAGGAAAGCCACATAACAGCTGCAATAATTATTAACTTAGTAACAATAATTATGGCTTATAGTAGTTATGTTAAAAATTGTCAAATAGAAATATTAATTTAAAATTATAGATTTTCCAGATATTCTGGAGAGCATGTCTCTTTTAAGGATATTATTTCCATGAGGGTTGTAAAAGATGTCATTACGTGGTCCAGTCCCAAAGTCAAACAAGGATTCACATTTTATGTTAAATAATGTTGCCTTGGCTGGCATGACTGATTCAGAAGTAAAAATAAAAAAACATCAAGTCAAGGAAGATATATCAAAAACAACTACAACAACAGCAATAACAATAACAAAACAAGCATTAAAGTCATATATCAAAATAATTTGTCATCTGATTCTTGATACATTAAGTAACAAGTAATAAATTAAAGTAAAGAATTTTAAAAAGTGAAAAGTGTAAACTGATTTCCACTGACTGAGGGACAAAAGAAGAGGAACATTTTTCTTATTTATATCTGGGAGTCTGGGTGCCAGTGTGCAGGGGGGTCTAGTCACTTAATTAGTTGTAATCTACAACTTTTTCTGTTGCTGTTCGCAGTTGCCTAACCTCCAACCTACCCAGCCTTCAACCTGGGTAGTTTTAATGTCAACATCAATTATTTCTCTCTTTTCATTGTTGCAAAGCCTTGGTTGGCCAGGAGGTTTCTTTGTAGCAGTTAGTAGTTCAGTTGCTAGTTTGTTCAAGTTTGCCATTGCACTGAAGTCTGAAGAATTCACTCAGTGGTAAAGAAACTCTTGAAGAAAAGGATACAGCCATACACCACACAGAATTCCTTTGAGTTTGGACTCCATTGAACTGAGTATATTGGTCCTCTTTTAGCTAATTTAGTAAAGCAATTGATATGCATAAGTTTAAACAATTCCTACACAGTACAAGTAATTGCAATAATTGTATAGTAAAATTATAACAGTCCTTAAGAGATTACTACCAATGATTTGTCCAATAGGTCTTTTGGTAAATGCTAGCAGCAACTGTCAATATGGATGCTCTATTAATGCCATTCTTTAAAATTGCATTGACATCCTTGCTGCATACAAATTCACACATAATCGGCAAAAGCGCTTTCAACCACTCTCACTCTGTAAAATAAATATAAATTAATTTAATAAATTACCTAACTGCACCATACTGCTTTCTCCAGAAGTACTGATATAATGCAGTGTTTGTTCACCATAATATGAGGCACCTGTTGTGTCAACATCTGTTGTTGTTACAACAAGCACAGCAGAGCCTAAGAAAAAAGAAGATAATCAGATGCAATGCTGTTATAAATGTGAACTGTTTATTCTCAGCTTGCCTTATTTACAATAAACTGAATAACTTGATAATCATGATGAAATGCCCACCAAAAAAAAAAAACATAGAAATTATCAGAAAAAAAAAGGAAAAAGAAAATAGGAAACAGTTATTTTAAGCTCATTCACAATGAATGAACCAGCCTCCATTATCCTATAATTTAATGCATAAAATACAGCACAAACCTTTCTTATTCCACATTAATTTCACTCTATCTGCCTTGAAAAAGCTTTTATTGGCCAGAACAGAAGCAGGATTGTCAAAATTTGGGTGTCTAAATAATCGCACATACGATGGTGCACCCTGATGAGATAAAAACAGATGTTTAGTTATGTACCAGCAATTTATTTTTTTATTTGCACAGAAGAATTCCCAGCAACTAAAATTCCTTAATTCGACTTTTTAACAGTTCAAAATGTGCAGAATTCAGAGACAAAACACAGCACACCCACCTTTGAACCAGGAACATAAGCTGCCACAGTAAATGGAGGGGGACCTGGAGAGAGCTCAAAATCTGAGATTCCTTGAAGCCTCAGTTTGGTTGCAATTGAAGCTACAAAACATGATAAACAAACAATACAGCTTAGTTGTCAGATAAGGAAAGATAGTAAGAGGGGTGTAAAACAAATTAGAGTCCCTCCACCAGTTTTTGCAGGTCAGTGCTCTACCACTGAGCTTCAAATATCTCACTGGTGAGCTCTGTACTAGCTTGATATATAACAAGTATACTGCATACTACTAGGGTGAAAATTTCTGAAAGCATCTTATGTAAATTACATAGAACAAGAAAGATGATAAAAATTTGAGTTATGTAATCCAATAAAGTAAGGTGTTGGTTATTTTGTGATGAGTATGAGACAAAGATGAAATATTCTTTAAAAACACACAGGTGATCAAACTTTCAAAACTCAACTCAGTCTAAAGATTTTATATCTATGACCAGTTTTTAAGGTTGTTCCCCAAAACTGATTTTGTACTGAATTTATGTGTACATACTGAAATCTGCTTCGTGAAAGCAGTGAATCTCATTGTTAACAGATCGAGCACAGACTGACTCATCTTCACTCCACTTTGGTTGCCTGGTAAAGAAGCAATGATTGGTGCCTAAGCTTCACTTTAACTTTCATTGAGAAGTATGAATACTCAAGCAGACTACTCATGGCAAAATTTATATTACACTAATTTACAGAGTCAATTATCCTTGGAAACCTTCCTTTGTGACAAAATTATCTTTAAAAAACTTGGCCCATCAATTTTTGGAAACCTCTAAACAAACACTTGTGCCTTTTTGTCCCAACAATTCTACCAAGAAAAGGGTTCATCAATGCTTAGCAAAGTGTGGCTTTAATCAGTCTTCAGATATTAGTTATTAAATAATATACATGAACAAGCATTTCTGCCAGAATTTTTCTTATATATACCAGTGAACCCAGACATTAATTTGAAACATACAATAACCTATCTGTAAACTTTGTTTATCTACATAAACTGTGAAAATCAGTGAAGTTACTGGCAAAAGAAAAATAAAAGAAAGACCTCCAGAAAGCTAGAAAGACCAAATCCTGTAAAACTAACCAAGTGTCCTTCTTCTTCTGTGAAAATCCAGCAACTAATCTTCCAGCCTGAAGATTCCAGATTTCAAGGTTGTTTACTCCTGCAGACTGATCTTTACTTGCTGTTTTCGCATGAAAATAATAACAAAATCAGTTTGGCAATGCCCACAATTTAACCTTACCAATGAAAGAAAAGAGACTTGCAAAGCATCATTTTCCAAAAAAATTACTTTAAGGAATGAAAAAAAAGAGACATAGGCAAATGGGTGTTACCTTGATACAAGACCAACTTTTCAAAATAGGCTGATTGGAAATCACCATCATGATAATGCTATTTTATACTACCAGGGTGTAATTCAAGTCTTAAGCTTTGTGCCTGAAAGCAATTCAGGGCCATGTTCAAAGGCTAGAGGATAGCATTCTGTATGTTCAAGAAATCTTTGAAGCATCAATAATTTATGGTAAATCAGGTGGGGCAAATGGAAGACATAGTAAGAATCAAGGTAAAGAAAAGGGAAAAGTTTGGCCACTGCAACTAACCTGTATACTGTTCCCATATTGACAGGTGAGTGGCTTTAGGAGAGAAGTCCAAACACTGAGTTTTCTCTTTAGGAATACGGCATACTAAACTGAACTTGGACGTGTCTACAACTATTACACTGCAAAATAATAATTAAGTATCATAAATAAATAAAAAGATCTATTAAAATACAATCAGATTGAGAAACAGACTGGCTGAAAGACAAATTACCAATGAAACTAAATCAAAATTCATGAGTTATTTATTTATCCATTGGAGATGTTATCTGCTCTTTAAACAACTAGTACCTAGGGTAGAAATGGGTACCAACAAATGTTAGTGAGGCCTGATGAAATTTTGAGCAGGAGGGGAGGGCTAATGGTGGCATCCCATCCAGGGGCCCAGGGGAGTAGTGATAAGCCTAGTCACTTAATGCTAAGAAAATGGAGATAAGCTGTTACTGGATTGGGGGGAGGGAGAGGGGCTAACCTTGCAGTAGACTGACATCCCATCCAGGGGCCAGGGGGAGTAGTGATACACCTAGTCACTTAATGCTGAGGAAACTGAGATAAGCTCTGGCTGGACTGGCCTCTTGGCTCAGGTAAAAACTTAATCCTTTCTTTTTAATCCAAAAAAAAATTGTACCAGGCAAGTGAGAAGCAATACAATTTATTTTAATTTCTACTTACATGGTACTTACACCAAACTATGATTACTTAAAGACAATTTCCTGTGGTATCTGTTAATCTCCTTCAACATCCCTTTCAATGGTAATTGTTTTAACATGTGACAAAAGGAAAATAATACTCAAGAAAACGATCTTTACCTTTGGCCATTACACCAAGTAAAGAGAGACCCATCAGGACTAAAGGTCATTGCCCTGCATCGAGGAGAGTTGTCACTAAAATAAACAAATGAGAAATGCTTACAACTCAGCGCAAGAAGAGGTTATGAATTCTGTACTCAAGAACGGGAGGTCACGCATGAAGTTTTTAATTTTTATTCCTCTCAAGGAAATAAGCAGAAACACTTTTGCAAGATGAAAGCTGACAATTTTTCCTTTTACATAGCCTTTGGTGGATTTCCTCTTTCAAGTGAAAAACGAGGTTATGACCATATTTAGTCACCAGGCCTATTTAATTTCATTCAAGAGAAACACCACACTCGCATTTAATTTTACAGTTCGACCAGAGCTGTACATTTGGTTCGCCAATGCAATGGCGGTTTGGAATTTTGTGTATAACGATGAGAAAATCTGAAAGATCTGTCAAATTGCAAACCGAGCATTATCTTGGATAGAAAATACTTGCTGTAACCAGCAGGTAAGCTGTTGAGTTGTTGTAGCTTACCTTCCAAAGTCCTCGTGTTGCCTAAACTTTGGCGGGCCATGAACAATAGATATTCCGTCCGATCCTCTGACTGAAATGAAAAAAAACATTTCTGATGCAATCACTCTGATTTTACATAGCTATATAATTTAATTTCAAGATATTTTCCCGAGAAATTTTGTGAAAACTTTTTTTACCCGCAAAAAGAGCTCTCGTGGCCGCCATGTTAGCCCTAGCTCGACGAGAGAAATTGGAAACGAACCTTTTTGAGAACGAGGTCATTGGTGTCCAGTTTTTTTCGGAAAGTCACGCGATGAAGGAAGTGGAGCTATGTGGCAGTGAACGTCGAGATGAATAAGAATTTCATGATCGGACGAATATAATGGAAGCTTGTGGATTGGGAATTTTATGTTGCTTGAGGCGATATCATCAACCCAGGAATTCGCAGCCCAGAGAGCTTCCTCAAGTGCAGCTAGACACAGGGCATATGGGTGAGTGATTGCAACACCGGGTGATTTGTGAAAGAGCTTGCCTGTTTTCACACTAGCACATATGAATTTATCGCTTGAGTAATTCTATTGGATTTGTTTTAGGAAATGAGGTCGTCATTGTGAAATCCGGTAAAAGAATATGCGGCTCTGGGGCAGCTTTAGCGAATGCGGCGATCCTTCAAAATAAATGCTACTTTGAGATGAAAATACAATCTGGAGGTGCGTTACTTTGGAATGTTACTTTGCGATCAATATATCTATACTCTCGATTTCTCAGCCGCAAAAATTAGATAGTTTTTATCCTAAACTTACATACATGCCCCTTCTTTCCTATCGTTTCTTATGTCTAATAATTAAAAAAAATTCGACATTACAAAATTGTCGATCGGCTCAACTAAAATCTGCTGATTTAGACGGGTTACACAAAATGTTTGTTTCAAAGGATCATTTAGCGAACTAAGGAAACGATATTTGTCAAGTTTAGAGTAATTAATGTTGGTCAAAATCAGTTGGTTTTTGAGCAAAATCAGGTAAAATTTCCTCACAGCCCCATACTACATTATGCATTCAGTTCTTGGATAGAGAAAACAATGACAAAAACAATACACTGCCACTGGGAAAATAGATTTGTTTGACAATAGTATGGGGCTGTGCGGAAATTTTACCCAAAATTATCCTGGGATTTGTAATCAACAAGCGTTGTTGACAAGCTTGGAGAACAGGAAATCAGGAGATCACAAGACACGTCCATGTTTTTGATACAGATAAGTGACTTGACTCCTTTTAATGAGGGCATGTGCACCAATTGTCACTCTAAATCATGTAAATTTGAATAAACTAACCACATTTGCGATGGAATTTTCACTTTTAACTAAATAATTGTAAATTCGTGAATATTTCAAATATCAGTTTTTCTTGGAACTGAGTGATATTAAATTAATAAATAATGCAGATTTTCTTTAGATTCTTATTATAGACCTTCCCAATTTTCAAAATGATTGTAAATTTTTAAATAGACTTTTAACACTGGTAGCATCCCTGTTTAAATTTTTTTTAATTTTGTGTTTGAAATGTTCTTTTAGTGTCCACAATTAGCTAACATATAGCTAAATACTCTTGACACTTAAATAAAGTTAATTGACAAGTTTTTGATTGAAGTGAAAGTCGCCAATACCCACCTAATCCTACAAGAGCAATGGAAAATGCATGCAGGTTCATGACTGATTTATACATGTATGCTATATATTATCTGACATTCACTTTTTACTTCCTATTGGTGTATAAAATATAATATGCATTTTGACTTTTTTACCTGTTATGGACCTGTTCAGATGGAGCTGGGAGACCCCTGGTAGGTGGGGTAACCTACCTGTCTATATAGTCTGTAATTTTATCTAAAACATTGCTTGATAGGTTGGGTAACCCCAACCAGGTGGGTTGCCTGGTTGCTGGGTAGGGTAACCCAGTCAGCCACATCACAATCTGCCATGTAAACTTCTCAAGGTGGGGTAACCCGCCTAGTGGGAGTCAAGTTCAAGTTATATTTACAAACATGCCAAGAACCTCACTGGGTGATCCCAGGGTTGTAAAATTATATGTAAAAGTAGGCTATTTTTCAATCATGGCTATGTGGGTTACCTAATCTACCTGGGGTCCCTCACCTTCACGTAAAGAGGCTCTAAATGTCAGAGTACAGACACATGCTTGTTAAATGAAATTATCAGAAGGACTATGTTAAGTTGTATTTTTCTTTGTTAGGTGCATGGGGTGTTGGACTTGCAACCAAAAGATGTGATTTAAACAAGATACCATTAGGAAATAATTCAGAAAGTTGGGTCCTTAGGTCTGATGGCACTGTAGCTCACAATGGAACTGTAAGACACAGACTGAGAGAAATACCAGAAGAAGGAGACATGATTGTAAGTCTGTCTGTAAACTAATTCATGATACTCAGGGGTTGCCAGGGTGGTTTTTGGGTGCTCCTGTCCTCCCCTTTCCTCCTTGTGTGTTTTTTTTTTGTTTTTTTTTCAAGTCAGTAACATACAAATCTTATAATTTGAGTTTGCAAAGAGGTGTCAATTGCAAGAATTTATGTGGCATTAATTTTGCACTAGTGCTTGGTTCCCCTTATTTGTCAATTCATCTTACTGCATCAATATGAGCCTGCTGAAGAAGAAAAGTAGTATAAGCTTCCTCTTTGCTAAATTGTTAACTTTGAAAAATATAAGCTTAACTCAGTGGTCAAATGTTGCACATGCACAAGTGGATCAGTTTTTAAGTTGCATGCCAATTTGTCATGCAAAATTTTTAAAGCAATACACACACAAAAAAAATTACTATCATACAAACTATGTGAAAGAAAATTCAAAATGTTCATAGAAATTGGTAAAAAGGAAACCACAGTGGGGAAAAGGAAAACTTGAGACTTCTCTAACACAAAGCATATTCAATTACAGGCATCCTTTACCTTTACAGACATTTGACCACTGTTTTTACTGGCTATGCCCTCATTATCTTTAATATTGCAATTTTATAGTAAACATATCATTATTATTAATAACAAAATTAAATCTTTACCCAAGATCAGCACTGGCTCACTAAATTAAATAGGACTGGTATGCGCATGGAACTAGCTAAATCAGTGGATTTTGGCCCAGCTCAACTTATGGAGTTGATTACGATTTTGTTTCAGGCCTGTACCTATGACCATGTAGAGCTTAATTTCTATCACAATGGAAAACATTTGCACTGTCCTATAACGGGTATGAAAGGAACAGTATACCCAGTATTTTATGGTAGGTATTAATTTGACACAGCCTTACCACTAACAATGAGAATTATTAGACCTCTCAGTCCTCAGAGCCATAGTATCAGCCTTTTTTAAGGCTGGAAACAAAAATACCAGACCTATGATTAATTAAAAGCATTTTTATGGTTGGCATGTACAAAAACACTCATGTGAGGTTAAGGAGAATTAGTAGCACTGTGAAAACACTTTTTGCTAGGTTTCTTTGGAGATCTTCCTTTTAAGCCCTGCTTAAAAAAAGTGTGTATCACCATCTTGCAAAGTTATTTTATTTATAAACCATTTTAATAGCTCTGTTGATTGACTGTTGTATAATTAATTAGACTGGTGTGTGGAATAAAGCACTGGGTGACTTTTGATCAACACTAACTTCTCCCTATGTTTCACAAGGGAATATCAGACAATTTAAACAGAAAATCTGGCAGTCAATCAGAAAGCACCTCTGATTCTTTCTATTAACCCCTTCTTTTGAGTTCATGGAAAGAAATGACAGGTCTTGGCCCCTATTAACAGCCTAGACAGTCATTATCCATTTTATGTCTGCACTTTCAACTTTAAAATGCAAGTAGTGCTTTTTTTTTTTAATCCTGTTTTCTTGCAGTTGACGATGGTTCAATCCTTGATGTTAGTTTCAGTGAATTTGTTTACCATGCTCCAGAGGGATTTCAGAAGATTATGTTTGAGAAAAATCTGCTATGACCCATTGCTAAATGAGATGCATTAGAATTGTATCTAAAATAATCAATTATCTCATCACAAAATATTTCTGTAGTTTGAAATGTTTCAAGTCAAAATGACTTTAAACTAGGTTCATTCATATTTTCTATTGTTCCAAGTAGATTACAACTATAATATTATTATTCAATAAAGAAAGAAGCAAATAAACCTAGTTTGAATTCATTTTAACCTGAATTTTAATCCAACCTATAATGTCATAAAACTTTGTTCAGTGTGATGAATGATTTTGATGCTCCATTATAAAATTCTCATATCTTGTAGAGTTTAATTGAATTAGAAGGTTATGTCACAGGATATGAATTTCTAATAATAACTAGAAAGTAAAATCCATGGAAAAAGGAAGACTTAACATTGATGATTTATAACATAGAGCTGGTTATTTATACAAGGTCTAACCCAAACCATGGTTTTACACAATCAGTGTGCCATAGGCTTTCCCTAGAATAGGAGAGGGTTGATTTCATTTTAAAAGAAATGTCCTTCAATTGTTAACATTTGGCTCTCTTGACACTGTTCACAAAAATAAATGTTCAGATAAAGGTCCAGCTAAATTGAGGATTGTTTAGGACACAGTGTTGTTGAAGAACAGCTGAGCTTTGTTTAAATAACCAGCCAATGCAGTTTTCTTGAAGCCAATATTCTTTGTTAGTATTTTGTTTTACTATTATGAGGTTTAATTGATGATATCTGACAAGTTATATAACAAATCTGACCAATTCTATACAGACCAGGCATGTAATTCATGTCTCAATTTTTTACCATACAATAACAAGCAATATATTCAGACAGATAAAGATTTCAAAAGATGTTCACTACTAAAGTGAGAAAATGTATAGCAGTGTGTAGAGTTGAGAGAGTAGTTATGAGTCTAAAAGAATGAAATAACAGGAAGGTATATAATTAATTTTTTTCTCTTCTTCCTCCGATATTGAAATTTTAACTCCTCAGAATGGGATAATATTTTTCTTATAGTCACACAGTCACATAGCCAGAATGTAATTCAGTTTCTCCTTGTTTTTTTTATCAAATTGATATGTCTGGACCAATATTCTAGCCAAGCTTTTTTCCTATGCTTCTGAGTATTCAAAGGTATATAGAGTTTTTTTTAACATATAATATTATATAGGGTGCCCAACTAAGGGCATCTTGTAATCTCTGAATTATTTTTTTGCCATCTGAAGCACTTTGTATAATCATTGTCAGCCATTTTAACCCTTTAACTCCCAAGATCTTATTAGTAATTCTCCCAACTGTCTACCATATGGTTCTTTTGATGTTAGTTTGGAGAATTTGGCATTGGATCACTTTATAATCCCCCAACTGATATTTTTCTTTATTCTCATTGCTTGTCTGCTTGATATTGTATTGATATTGTAAGGAGAAATTCTGTTTTGGTCACTCATGGGAGTTAAAGGGTGAAGAAAAAGTGTTGGAGCTTTTTAATAATGTTAAGTGAGTGAGGGTAACTCTTTAAGACTAGTAATAAATGTATTCAGGAAAATTGTGGTTAATAGATTATAGTTTGTGTATAAGCTTTGATTGAAAGTTAGTCCACCAAAGCCTCAGCAGAGTAAAATTAACTTTTCAATTTATTAGCCTAGGGGTGTGACTTTCCTCTGTTCCACCCCTTGATCAAATGTCTTTTTCTCCCAGGCCAAATTACTTTGTCAGGCTCAATTGGCCAACCTGTAACAGGCCGTCATCAACAGGGAACGGAGGGGTAACCGCTTAATATTGCAAGTTGACCACTGCAAACAAGTTCTACAGGAAAGGTGCCCTATAAAAATAGGCAGTCAAGACTGCACGTGGCTACTGATATGGCACAATTTATAGCATTGAAAAAAACAAACGACGTAAATGATGCTAGAAGGTAGTGCTGCAAAAGATTTGTATTCACATGCAAAACAGAAAACATGCCACATGCCAAGTATTTATGGTCCACAGGAGAAAGATGATTTAAGAATATTGTGACTAATTGAAATTCTACCAATAATTAAATATGAATGAAAGTGATCTTCGCAGTGATGTGCACTACTTAGGCAGTAGTGAAAATAAGGCCTTATTTTCACTACTGCCTAAGTAGTGCACATCACTGCGAAGATCACTTTCATTCATGTCTTTATCCGCAGTTCAAATATATGACCTTCATATATTCTTAACCGTCTATTCATCACTTCACGGGTTTATTTAGAACCACCATCATAACCAGCTCCCAGTTGGCTTGTTAGCTCAGTTGGTAGAGCGCTGCACCGGTATCGCAGAGGTCATGGGTTCAAATCCCGTACAGGCCTGAATTTTTTTTTCAGGCCTTATTTTCACTACTGCCTAAGTAGTGCACATCACTGCGAAGATCACTTTCATTCATGTCTTTATCCGCAGTTCAAATATATGACCTTCATATATTCTTAACCGCCAATAATTAAATAGTAACAAATTATCAGTCATTATGGCAACAATAGAAATATAATAATAATTAAATGGGGCTTGCTTGAAAAGAAAGTTTCCGCACAGTTTCCACGATGTGCGGATCACACCTATTTAGATATTTCTGCGATTAAAAGTTTTGATTTAGATTACGCATCGGTGGTGCCACTGTGAAATTATTTCGAGATGGTTATCGTCTCAGGAAGAACTGAAAAAATTACACCTTCGGATCTACAGGGAATAATTCGTTGATTCAAACAGTAAATTGCTCACTTTTGAAAGGGAGATTATTTCCTCCAAGTCTTCAAACCTATCAAGATATTTGTGCAAGGAAGACTTTTGTTTTTAATTACGTTCCATCCTGAAATGATTGTGAGAGGTTTAACGTCCTCTGCTGTATTCTGTAATGTCAACAAAAAAACAGAAAACATAATGCGCTAGTAACTATGCGCCAGAAAAAGAGGGAGGGACTCAATAGTGCATCGAGTACGAATGTTTATCCAAAATTGGATTCTAGGGTCTAAAATCCAAAATCAGGCATTTTTTCTTAATTAAGTTTATTCACAACATAACAGATTACTACAAGAACCACTAGAAGCGTACGAAATTAGACGGAAAAGCTTGATTTCGACATAGTGGTCACATAGCTTCCCGAGACGAAACGGGAGCATTTGAAACCGGACGAAACCATCATTATATCTTATTCAATAAAAGCATCACAGAAGCAGGTAATCAAAAGGCACGTAATTTATTAGCCATGAGTCAGTCTAATTGTAAGCTATATCTTTATGCCTCAGCAAATCCAATTAAAACTAAAAACTAAAAAAATAGGTTATAATGGATGGAAAATGTAATGCTGACGTAAGTTGATTAGTTAGTTGAACATGACAGAAGATTTTTTGCGGTATGCGCACAAACAGACAAACCTTCGTGATGAAAATTGTAATGTTATAATTCACAATCAATTTAAAGTGACAAAGTAGTATGGGAAGGAGTCAACTTGCAAGTGTTCTATTCCTGCTGAGTAAAATGCGACACTTGCATAAAGTTGAGTGTAGGAAAGTCGGCTGAATTCCTATGCACAGATTTATTCGAAAGTTATTCGTCAAGTCTGAATTGTGAAATTGTTACAACTATGGCAGTGAAGCACCGGCAGTGGACAGGGTGCTTAACACCATATACTTCGAAAAGTAGAACGATCAGCTTCGAAAAGAAAAATTCCACCTGTGGAATGGGAAGGGAGAATGTCCCAATTTCTTCAATCGCACTCATACGGGGTGAAGTATCTCTTTCTGGCAACATTACAGAAGGACAGAGATTTTTCACGCCAAAGTTGCTTTTCCATGGCCTGGTGTATTGAGACTGAAGTCTCCTCCTCTGGATTTCACGAACGTCTCATATCTGAAAGACAAAAACAAAATAAAAAAAAAACAATGATTTCAAAAGGAATCCATCCTTTCTTTCATGACTCTCTTCCAAAATGGTAGATGAAGATGACCATAAGAGGGTTTACTAAGCCTTTGTCAACTTCACTCCATTAACGAAATCTCGTGTGTAACGTCACACACCAGCATTTGAAATCAGTTACTAGTGTCTGAGGTGAGACAGTGTCCAAAATCAAACACCAGTGTCTAACATCGGACACTAGTGTCTAAATCAGACACAAGTATCCGAAATTGGACACCACCGTCCAAAATCGGACACTAGTGTTGAAAATCAGACCCCAGTGTCTAAAATTAGACACTAATGTTTAAGAGTGGACGGGATGGTGTTTGATTATAGACACTAGTATTCTAGTTATTATTTCTTATCACTGTTGCCATGCGGCTATAAATTTACATGAAAAGTGTGTTTTTCTAAAAAGCTGGAGCTCAAGCAAGACTCAACCGTTATAATGGACATACATGGCCTGGTATCTGCGTCTTTCATTGTCTGACACAGATGGACCAGCCGCTGATGTCGCTTGCAACAAATCTGATTGGTTGATTTGTATTCCAAACGTCGCCTCATTCTCTGCTGAACTAGATTGTAATGCCTGAAAACACAAAAAACGGTGTTAGAATTTATATCAAAGAAAATTTAATTTTTTTTTCATTGGTGCATTAAAAGCTATTAAACCTAACCCAGACTATGCCTAAACGAAAATGAAATAAAAGATAATATCAAGGAGGCAGTGAAGGAAAGCAACTGCTGAAAGAAGCCAACCGAAATATTGTTCAATAATTACTTAAAAAACAAGTCAGTGAATACACAGCAATAAGCACGTAGGTTCGGAATGCACGCACTACCAATAAGAGAAAAAGAAGATGGAGTGATTTTATTCCATTTGAAGTTTCATGGGTCCACTCTTTGTTACTTTCTGATGAAGTTTCTTTTGACAATTTTTTATGTCGCGAGGGAATATGACATGGCAGTTTTAGTGACAAAATATTACCGCTGAACATGCCGGCTAGCAAGAAATATAAGCGCTCTTGTATATGCGAATAATAGATGAAATCCTCCCATCAATTAAATCTTTACCTTCCTTTTGCTCTTTCTGTGTTGTAAATTCTTGTGGAGAGTTGTAACCTGGTAAGTTAAAAAAAACTTCGTGGGTAGATTGACAGACAGGGAGGGGGTTTTTACAAGTTTATACAGGGTTTCGTCACAGGTAATGCATCGAGACAAAAAAATCAGCCTTAATTCTCCCAACATTGCCTCATGCCATCCAAGGGAATCTCCTACATCCCTCGTCATCATCAAACTTTTCTGGTTTCTGATTACCTCTGCGGTAACCATAGATTAATTCTGAACTATGTTAACGCAGTCTATTATTTGAAAATCAAAACGAAACCATGCTTTTAAAAATGATTTCTCATCATCATTTTTCATTTTTCCAAATTTCCTCGGAAAAGAAAGAGTAATGTCTTTCGGAAAAAAGAAACTAAAAGCATAAATTTCGCACAAACTGTTTCGCTTCATGAATTCAAAGGAAACACTGCGTGAAAACTCATAAGCTGGAGGTTGAAGTTAGAGAAGGGAAGGTTTCACACTCATGGGTTCTAAAAACATTTAAAAGTAAGTCAAGTTGTTTTATTATCATTAAAGCATCACTCTGTTGACCAAGGGGCGGATCAAATCTACCTTATGACCCTCCTTAGTCATGCATTTCTGCAACATGGAGTATAGGAGTAACAGAACCCTACCTCTGAATGAAGTTTTGTCAGCTCTTCCGTTGATAGCTGTATAGATCCTTCAGTTAAGCTTGGAACATAAATAACATTATCCCTGTCCTCTTCTGTAACCACACCAGTTTCCGCACATCTGTCATACTTCTCAGTGCTTTCCATTTCAGTATTTTTGAACATTGCCTTGTAAAGCTGACTGTTGTTGGCGTTCCTGTGGATTGCTGCCAGCTGTGCATTATACAGAAGAGCTTTGAAATCAGCTCCGGTAAAGTGTTCACACATGTCTGAAATAACGGCTAGATTGATGTCCTCTGACAGGGTCACGGATCTTGATAAAGCCTCTAGGATCTGTAATCTCTCTGACTGTAAGAGAAAAAAGGCACAAACTTTTTCTCGGCTCGGACAAGAAAGATCAGGCTGAGAGAATGGATATCCAAACCTCAGCTTACTCCTGAGGAAATCTGTCTTGAGCTACTTTAAGATCACCGTCATGTTTGTAAATCTCAAGAAGAAACAGAAATAGCCAATCCGGTGGCGTGAATTTGGCTCACGTGGACAGCGCATGCAGCATCTGTTCGTTCCCCATCAAAAGATTCAAGCAACAAGCGAGGTACAGATAACGTTTATTGCAGGACGCCAGACGCCATTTTTAGGGGAAACCACCGGGGCGTGGCTCAATTAAAGCACCTTTCAATTTAGTATCGTAAAACCAAAACCAAAGTATTCACAACAGCCGAACGGAACGGAAGAAAATATTACAGGGAGACACCGAGAACTCAGAGTAAAAACAAACGAATTGGACGATGCGTGGAAATTCCAATTGATTCCTTTTAACTCTTTGTTTTGATGAACTTGTGTTAAATTCTGCTAAGGTTTCATGACCCATAATTAGAAAAAAAAGCGCCCTTACCTTGGTTGGTATGCCGCAAAACAAACACTTATCCAATCGTCCTGGCCTGAGAAGAGCGGGATCGATCAAGTCTGGTCGACTGGTTGCAGCAAGAATATAAACACCGTCCAGTCCCTCCACTCCATCCAGCTGAGTAAGTAGCTGATTAACCACTCTATCCGTCACACCTGTGCTGTCATGTCCACGGCGAGGGGCAAGGGAGTCAAACTCGTCAAAAAAAAGGATACATGGTTTGGCACTTTGAGCTCTGCAAATGAAAAATCGGTTATGATCGTGGGAACTTTGTCATGTCTTGTTTCGTTTTTGTACAATTCAACCACTTTTCAGCCATGGGCTACAAAAACCAGGATAAGTCCTGGCGGCGTGGGACATGGTGTAGCCTTCACCTTACCCTGAACACTGAATCCTTAAGTGGGGGAAGTGTGTCACGGTACAGTGGCAAATTAGTGCGCACGCTCAGCGCGCTTGAGCAATATTTCGACAGAAAAACTACGCAGATGGTGGCGACAGTTTTAAAAATTCCAAATATAATTTCATTTTGCCAGGCAAAGGCTACATGACCACGACTAAGGTCCTTGCCGATAAAGACTTTTCTTCAATTCTGTTCCACTATGTATCTTTTCTTGAACAGAGAATACATCAGCGTAGCTGACATCGAGTGGAACATTTTGGGATTCAAGTCCAGTGTATGCGGATGGACTCGAAGTTCATTTCCTTCATTACTTGGTCTGGTCACGCGACGGAATGTCTCATTGTGGGGAGGGGGGGGTGGAGAAGAGGCTGTTACGTGACATGACCAAATAAAGGCTGCGACGAGGACCAACATAAACTGTGAACTAATCAATGATTGAATGATTCTGGTCATTGCCTCCTCTAATAAAAAGGGCCTAGGAAAAATATGACGAAAAACAACCATGAAAGCTCCATTTTTCATGTTGTCAACATACAATACTAATTACCTCGTGAACATATCTCTGACCGCCTGTTCACTGGCTCCAATATACTTGCTCAGTAGCTCGGGACCTTTGATACTGATGAAGTTGAGCCCACACTCCTTAGCAACCACACCAGCCAGCAGTGTCTTGCCAGTGCCTGGCGGTCCATAGAGAAGAAGACCAGAACGCAAGCGCAAGGGACATTTACTAAAAAGCCACGAATACTAGAATGGAAATGAAAATATAGTTGTCTTTCAGGCATCAAACAGATTCTCTTACTCCCACATTTCCTAATGTGTTTATTTTACTGTTAGCCATGGAAAGTTTACCACACTAAAGAAAAGTATTCCGTTGTTTATGCCCTTTAAAACCTACTCGTACATCCAGATCACACCAGATAACGTTAATAACCGACTAAAGTTAACCATCCACACTGGAAAACGGATACATTGTTCCACCTCTACACTACAGCCATCGACAGAAAGCGTAAAGCTCTGCATCCTTGGGCATGCGCAAAAGGGCCTCAATGACGCGCCGTTAAATGAAGAGAGAAGTCACATTGGCGTTTTCAAAAATCTCCTTTTTCAGTAAACAATTTCTTTAGATTTGCGTGAAGTAAAGGCTAAAATAAAGAAAGAAAATTGAGTTTGCACATCTCTCAGGCAAATTGTAGCTAAGGCCCTTTTTCTCCTTAACAATAGGTATTTCTTTACTGTAAGATGCCTAAGAGGACAGGGATTTACTTTTGTTGGCCACAGAAGAGTTTCCATGAGTGCTGCTTTTACTCCAGAAAGTCCTCCCACATCAGACCAGCCTAACTCTCCCGCAGTATGTAAGCTAACACCCCTCAGTGCTGCAGGGGTAAATCCCTCAAAAGCCTTCTCAAAATCTTCTGGTGTAATTGCAGAGCAAATGCCTCCATCTGCTAAAAGACAACAGGAGAGTTAACGATAACAAAGCCTTGATTACCACAGTTGACACCCAACAAGTACACAGACACCTTCATCTTTTAATTTTATGTTAAAAACTCACCTGCCGATGTTGTCATCTTCCTGACTGCTGCTTTGTGTAAGGCACGGTCAAGTAATGATTGTAGATCTCTGGGAGAGAATCCTTCAGTTTTCTTTGCCAACAGACTAAAGCAAAGTAAAGAAATCATTTTTTAATAGAGGCAGGAATGAGAGGAGTGGTAATTTTTGCGTTTAATTAAGTGATTAAAGATGTTGACACTGATGGCATGAAATTACTTTTTGATGAAAAGAATGTAAGGGAAGTGATTACCTTGTGAGATCAAAAGGAAAACAGGTGTACGCAGAAATTTGAGTTTGCGAAATGTTTTCATATTTTCCCATAATTATGGTCTCACTCTATGCTGAATTAAAGCGAGACAAAAAATCTTTGATGTCGATTTGGAACAATCTGTATTGCTACACTGTAATGCACAGTTCAGAGTGCAGAGGTCATTTCTATACCCAAGGCATGCACACATCTACGAGTAGTACTTGCTAAGAAATGCTTTGCAAGTTTCTTCAGAAGGGTCCTCAAGAGTAGGCAGTTGACTCTTTTCTTAACTGGCTTGGCTTTTCACAGTAGGAAACTAAGTTTCAATCTTGACCTGAGTTCCAATTTGTCACAATCTCGGTGACGAAACAGTTTGGCCATCATCGCAGACAGAATCTGTTGTCTTTGGTCTGCATCAGGGGGATGGAGCTCTGCACGGCATTGAAACACGTGACATCCTCGTGACGTTAGCAACGACGGGTGTAAAGAGTCATGTGACTTACTAGTTGCTATGACAACTATCCTGCTGTTGTTATTGATTTCTGTGCTAATAAGGTCCTTAAATACTGCAGAATTGAAAAATAAGTAGGTAATGTAAGATGAGAGCACAACACATGGTTTGAATGTCAAAATACTGTACATAAATACATCACAGACATGGGAATCTAGGAGTCAAATGTGGCAGGTTCCATCAGCCACGCCTTGCTAACAGGCCAACAAGGCACACTTTCCTTAGAGAGTGATTGGCTAACATCATCCAGGACATAGGTCAATAAAATAAAACCTTTCTGGGGCTGTCTTCAATTGAGTATCAAAAGTTGTTGTGGATTGCATTTATTTTGCTCTTCTTCCCTATGCTGACTGTGACTAGCCTAACAGACTTGCCCCATCTCCTACAGCATGGATCAGTCATATTTTCTTTCACTCAAAGCAGTTTGCCAGTCTTCATTTCAAGTTCTCACTGGCTCTTTGTGGTCTTTTTTTTATTGCTGTTGTTTCACACTTTGCTATTACCTTTGTATGACACTCAACTGAAATATGTTCTGCTGCACCAGTAGATAACATTATACACTTCTTAAAGGCTGGTGCTCTGTATAGAATATTGGCCTTTTACTGAAAATCATGCTTGCCACCATCTCACCTTGAGCTAAGCGGCGTTTGTACAAAGCTTCTCCACCCATCTCTTGGAGTGCACTTGGGGCTGAAACAACTTGATCTAAATCATCAAACAGGATCACAGATGGCTGATGCCATGCTGCTTCCAAAAATATCTGCTGCCACTGTTTCTGAATGGTATCAACTCTTTTTCCTTCAAAGAGAATAATCATAGGAAAAAACCATTTATTTATGTTTACTGCAACATACAAATCCAGGAGTTTCAACTAAAGCTAGTCACCAGTGGTTTATTGCTCCCAATAAGACAATACGGCACTGCAGCCCCCTATTGCACCCTCAGAAACCATTTATGGGAAAAGTCCATGAAACCCCTGACTTTGTTTGCAAATGTACCCACCACATCACAGTACCACACATTTATCATAATCATGGACACAAAAAAGCTAATTCAACAAAGTAACAAAATAAAGGAAAAAATTACCTCTGAAAGGAATACAATCCACAAATGTCACATGTGCACACACTGGCCACTCCTGAAGTTGGTAGCACACTGCATGAGCAAGAGATGTCTTGCCACAGCCAATCCCTGCTCCTGTACCACTGCCACAAATGAGCACAGCTCCACCACACAGTCCTGAGATGATGTTACCTCCCAGTTGATTGGATAGAGGTCGCTGCCCTAGCACTGACAAAGCATGATCCAAGCACTTGTGGAATACATCTGTTACACCCCTTAAAACAACAATGATTGCCAAACATGAGCTTTAGCTCAAGACTATTATAACCTGCAAAACTAGGAAATTTTCCATCCTTTCTTAAATGAGATAGAAAGACTGCACAAGGAAGAATATTTATATATTAAAATTTCTTTGTATGTTCACCTTCTAACTATGAAATTCCAAAGGTTAACCCTTTGATCCTTACAAGAAACTAAAATCTAATTTCTCCTTACAATATCACCCCTGAATCACACATTAAAGTCACAAGAATTAAGGAAATGATCTCCAACTAGAGAAACTCTTGATTGTTAAACAAATTCTCCCTGTCAGCACCTTAGGAAATGTATAGAGAACAGTATGGAGAATATGCAAACTGATGGTATGGTTTAAGGGGCTCATCATCCCCTAAAGCCATATACCATTCTCATCAACATCATTTTCAATCATTTCTTACCCCAAGTCATTAATGCTATACTTTGGAAATTGTGGCTTGATTTCTTGAGCACTGATAAACTCGCAGAAACCCTTCAAAGAGTTTTGGGGTGTTCCTATGACAACTGTCACATTGTTTAGAGTCTCAGGAGTAAGGTGATAATATGATGGTTCCCCTCCTGACTTCATCGTCTCGTGATGGCTCAGCACTTTAACTACAAACTGACAAAGTTGGCCTAAAAAAGAAAAACAAACAAAATATTCATTGTTTAGATCTTTAGACCTCATTACTTAATTAACATATAAAATAAATATTTGGTCTGTTATTTGTTCTCTTTAATTTATAGTAACATTCAATTTACATTCAACTCAGTGATAAAACCAAATTATCTTGTTATACCCCTACTGACATGGTATCGCAGTTTTGTTAGAAACCTATCCCCTTTGCTCACAGATATCCATTCAAAACGATATCTGCTAACCTTGAGCATCAAATGACAACAGTGTTCCACTACAGAGTACAAGAGGCACTTCCACACTGCACACCATACTGATCCAGCCTTGAAAGGCATCCATGACAGTATCAGCTGAAATATCCTGAAGCTTGATAAAAAAAAGACAAACAACCAAACAAACAAACAAACATCAATGTATGTAAACTGATATTATATTTTTTCCAGCAGGACATGGTAAAGAATCCTGCAATCTGATTGGTTCTTAGTGTAGTCCCTGCCTTTGGTCATGGTAACATTTTGGCGAGTTTTTGTTTCTGTTTTTCTCTGTCCTCTGGAAAACAAAAACTTCTGAAATATTCTTTAAGATAAAATTACCTTCTGTTCAGTTTCTGATAAGGTAATTATTTTGTCCAGTAGAGCATGGTAAAGAATCCTGCAATCTGATTGGTTCTAAGTGCAGTCTATCTACATCTATACATGGTCATGATGAATTTTTCGTGCCTCCTGAGCCTTCTGTGTCTTTCTTCTGAAATATATTTTTATGATAAAATTACCTTCTGTTCAGTTTCTGCAAAGGGATGCAAAACCATTCCTTGTAAGTCTGATGGTCCAGATGAGACATTCTGAATTTTAACTGAACACAGATCTCTTGCTCCAAGCATTCTGCAGAGTTCTTTGGTCAGGATCACATGCCCTGGCAGCACATGCTCTTCCACGCCCAATTCATGAGAATTTAGATCGACAGAAGCCCTGTTTAAACTGCTTGTCATCACCATTCTCACAACCCAGTGAGGTGGTAGCATGTCAAGAGAGGTGGAATCAGGAGGGGATTGGCCAGTCACTGTCACATGATAAAACACACAATTTAGCAAATCTCAGTCCTCTAGCTTCCATCATCAAAATTATTGTCTATCTGCTCATTATTCTTTGGTGAAATACATGAAATCAAGAAACTTTGGTGATAATGATCTTGGGCTGACACATGTTTCTCTGTTATCCAATGATGCTTTGTGTGATAAAACATTATTAATTTGAGGGGTGATTTTACTCACCTCTAGGAATTTAAAACAAATAGAAATTGGGCACCATCCCACAATTAGTTGACAATATTAAAAAGATGTGTTGTTTGTTGTAACAAGGTCTGAATAGCCACCTATAATGGAGTTTTGGTAGAATATCAGCTGCAACTCAACTCCTGAAATCAGTCAGTTAAATTAAAAGGTTCACCTTGATTAGATTCACTGTCTGTTGATGTCTCCTGGGATTGAGATCCTTGGTTTTCATTGTCGTTTGATGGTGATCTATTTTTTTGCAAGGCAGTTCTCTCTTTGGGAGATAAAAGTTTGTGTATTTGAACAGTTTTTTCCACTGTGCCATCTGGTGGTGGAAATGTTTCCCAGTTACAAGTCCATGACTTCAAAACTAGTGGCGGCAAAGATGTAATATCAACAAACACAGTTGTGGGTTGTCGAGAATAAAAATTCATGGATTCTACAGTGCTGCCTTTATTTGAGACCTCAGGGTCACCTTTGATATTTAGCTGAACTCTCAAGTACATCTCAAAGTCAGAATCATCACCACTATCAGTACCACATTTTTCACCTTTCTCCGTGATTGAAGATAAGGGTTTCCAGTTCTCTTCATTTTTAATTTCTTCTGGGTTCAAGGGTTTGCAAGTCTGATTTTCATTCACAGGGTTCTCCTCATTATAAGGGTTGAAAAAAGACTGCAAATAACATGAGACTCTTGATAAAAAGCCACTGTTGGCAATGCCATTTTGCTCCTCTGCATTTGTGGTTCTAGAAGGTGAAGGCCATGATGACAGCTGATCACCATCATCAAAACAAGAAACATTACTTGTTGAAGCATACTTATTTTCAGCACTTGTGCCAGTAAGTATTTTGTTCTCTTGTTCTGTGTTCTCTTTGCCAAAATGAACTGGAGCTTGCTGAGGTTGTTTTCCTTTAGAAAATGTTCTTGTTTTAGGTGAGACAATCACTTCAGTAAACTCATCAAGTCTGACACAATTGGCATCTGGCTCAAGGTTAACTGTCAATGGGAAATAAACAAGAATAGTTCATTAAGGAAAGCTGAAGGTGCTAAAACAGTTACAAAGCTCCTGCACTTACTTTCTCTTCAATCAGCTCCTCTAGCATGATAGTAATAATTATAAATAATATTATTATATTGAGACTAAATGTTTTCATACATCAACTCAAAGATGGTAACAGTCAATCTCTCCGGCCATACAGAACAAAGGAAAATATCACGTGAAGCCATTGTCAGCTCAGAATAAAAACACACAAACTGCTTGAACTGTAGGATTATGTATATTATGTAAAAAAGTCATGACTATGGGTTTGTGTCTGATTGGTTGAGAGCATAGCACAAGTATTCTGGACCAATCACTATGCAAAGTAAAGAAAAACTAAAAGGACTCCTTGTTTGCTCCATACTCTCAACTGATATTTCCTTCACTTCAAATTGTTGTGGTGGTTTGATCAACATGTGGTGGTTTTATCGACATCCAACCATTTCTAATCATAAGGTAACAGTTTAGTAAGAACCCACTGCAGATTAAGGCTCCCTGTGAAAGATGTGATGAGAAAAGGCAACCAAACCCAAATGTAGGGAGGTTCCATGCTTTTTATTGTCACTAAAGCATACCAATTTGGACAACCACACACATATTGTTTTCAATCCATATTGGCAATTTCTGTCCTGGGAACACCACTCTCACTTGGTTCAGAAGCTGACTTTCTATGTAACCAGCATGGAGTTCCTAACAAAGAAATTAAAAGCAACCATCCTGTAACACTAAGTGCAAGAAATGTGTTTTTACCTCATCTTGTTTCACAGCTTTCTCTCTGAACAGATTACTTGCTATAGAGATTCATCTCTACTTTAGTTCACATGTATGTATTATGCGTCAATCAATTTGAAGCTTCAGTATCCTCCCCCAGGCAATCCCTACATGCATTTGAACTTTTGAAGATTTGGTCATTCAAATTCTTTCACCCCAGGAAATTGAGTTCAAATGGCCCACCCAATATTTTCATGAAAGGCAAAATCAGCAAGTGTGACTTTCTATATTCTGTATTGACCAAGCTTTAAAACCTAGACCTTGTGGACATTTTCTTCTATGCCATAACCTGTTGAATTTTATGGAGAACTTCCTAAAAAGGTTGGAAGAGTCTTGCTGAGGTAAAATTGGTTAGATTGCAAACCAACTAACCCTTAAGCTCAGGAAAACAAAGAAGCCAAGATCTCATGATATAGCCTTAAAAATAAGGGTAAGTAACAGTCATGCAATTATCTTAAATTCATCAAATTAAATTTCAACAAGATTCTTATCTAGTTGTAGCTAAAAATTCAAGGTTTTTAATTTTAGGATGCAGCAAGTGGAAATGATCATCTGGTGCCTGGAGAGCATTCCAGGCACAAGTGAGTCATTACATCCTAAGGCCAGCATGTGGGAGTGTTTATCACCCTTAAGCATTGTAACATATTCACTCACTAATATTTCCCAATCATTGGCACTGACTGGATCCACATTTATTCTGTTACATGATGGGATACCAACCACAGGTTCAACTAAAACCTAAAACACAAAATGGAAAATATTACACATCCATTATAAAAGCCTCACAGCATTCAAGAGACTTGGACCAAACTAGGATGTTAAAATCTGATTAAGTAAACCAAATGGTAAATATTGGCCGCTGACAGTTTTACAACTTAAGTTTTCTCTTCAGTTTTGGCTTTGATTCCATAACACCTCACAAAATGTTGGACTTAATGTACCCTTTTGTGCACACTTTTGTCCTGCTTGAAAAACTTAAACTTGAACTCTTGAACTTTTAACCCTTTGACCCTTAACCCTTTCACTCCCACAAGTGACCAAGACAGAATTTCTCCTTACAATATCAATACAATATCAAGTAGGTAGGTGATGAGAATAGAGATGAATATCAATTATGGGATTATTAGTTGATCCAATACCAAATTCTCTGAACTAACATCATAAGAATTGTATGTCAGATAGTAAGGAGAATTACTTATTAGATCTTGGGAGTGAAAGAGTTAAAAGAGACAAGCATTTAATTTCTCCATACACCTTACAAATATCACCACTGAATCAAACATTAAGGCCACATGAATAAAGGAAATGATCACTAACTAGAGGGGGGTAAGATTATTTCATGTACAACATAATACTGGGTATGGCTACAATTATCAAGTTGAACAAAATGCCCCATTCCTACCTGCTGATTGTCATCTAGTCCTAGTCCATCCGCAAATTTCTTTCCAAGTTGGACAATTGATGATGAATCATTCAGGATATCACCTCTCTTGCCATGTGTCACTTCACCAGACCAGCTGGCAAAAGCCTTGCCATTTTCCCACTGAAGTTGAAGAGCAAATGGTTGGCCCTGGTATGGTTTTCAAGAAGTCAAGTGCATGAGTTAATCATTGCTGGGTATAGATGAGTAGGATTTTAAAATAAGTTTCAGGTCAGTTACTTTGAAATTTCCATTGTTCCGGACATAAAGCATAATTCATAAACAAAGAAGGTAAAAGTTAAACTAGGGTGAAAACAATTCAGGTTTCCCCTAAAAAATTGTATGTCTAGAAAAAAAGAGGCTTTTTCTAGACTTTCTCAAACTATGACTTTTGTTTCAAGGATTATGAATAAGATCTCATGGCGCGGGTGAACAGTATCTGTTATGGGTCTACCCCAAAAACCTACCACACCCCTGTTTTCACCCCCAAATGTACAGGGAACTTTGACAATTGTTATGAGCTCAATGCAAAGACTAGTTCAAAAGGTCTATGATCCTATGATAACAACTTACTATGCATGTTTCCGTTCGTCACCTACCTGGATTCGCAAGCCTATTGCCTCTGCAAGCTCCCCAGAGAGACTGACAAAGCAGTTTTTCGACGAATTCGTTCTTACACAAGCAGATCTGATTCGATTCATTTCCACCGCAAACCTCTGGAACTTCCCCTTTGAAGTATTTGGTCTTTCATATTTCTATATTCCCAAAGAGAACATCTGATAGGAATGAGCCGCCATATTCAGCAGAATATTTAATATTGCGGGCTCACCCGAAAAACCACGAGGAAGGGAGGGAATGGAACGGGTTGGGGAAAAAGGAATGGGCCAGAGATCAGTCATTAACCCTTTACACCCTGACATTAGTATGCGTATTCTCCATACTGTTCTCTGTACATTTCCAAAGAGGCTGACAAGGAGAATTTGTTTCACAATCAAGAGTTGCTTTGGTTGGTGATCATCTCCTCTATTCTCATGACTTTCATGTTTGATTCATGGGTGATATTGTAGGGAGAAATTAGATGCTTGCCACTCTTAGGGGCTTCACCCTTTCACTCCCAGATCAAATTAGTAATTCTCCTTACTGTCAACCATATAATTCTTATAATGTTAGTTCAGAGAATTTTGTATTGGATCAACTAATTATCCCCATATTGATATTTTTCTTTATTCTCTTCACTAATCTAGTTTATATTGTATCGATATTGTAAGGAGAAATTCTGTCTTGGTCACTCATGGGAGTTAAAGGGTTAAGGGAATTATCTTCAAATCAATGAGGACTTAAGAGGAAAAAGTGAAGTAAAAATGTTGACACATAAGGTAAACAAATCTAAGGCTGTAGTCTGGAAGAGCTTGGTCCCAACGAGCTGTTATTGCCAGATATTACAATTTTGCAGACTGTGTGAGGGGATATGCCCCTTTTGCCAACAGGAAATTTTAAACTTGAGGTAATGAGGAGGTACAGACTAATAAAATACCTCCCTCTGCATGTAAATAAGAAAGAAATACTCAAAGAGATGTATTTTTACAAGTTTATTTCAGGTTTTTTCAGGTCAAATCCAGTAAATCCAGTTTATGCGTTTTCACCCTCCTCTTCCTCTTCCTCATCAAACTCTCCTTCTTCTTCAGCTGTGGCATCCTGATATTGTTGGTACTCAGACACTAGATCATTCATGTTTGATTCAGCCTGTAAAAATGAACACTTAACAAATAAGTATTCTAAATAAATTACATGCTATTGTTATATACCTCGACTTTCACTCAACAAAACCAGCACTGTGATTGGTTGATTCTTGGTCACATGCCCCTGATCAAATTCAAATGTATCCCGACCAAGATACAATTGCACAGTTGTTGCCCAAACGCCGAATACAACGGTGGTGACTCTCAGGAAAACAAAACTGATTCCCTTGGGATCATACATTACCTAATAGATATATTATACCACAGAGACAGAAAATTACATCAAGATAAGAAATACTCACTAGCAGGGGGAAATATCTGAAACAGGTGTGGGGGGACAGATAAAGATTATTTCCACAAGCTCTAAAATCTTAACTTACCTCAGTAAACTCCATCTCATCCATGCCCTCACCAGTGTACCAATGCAAGAAGGCCTTGCGCCTGAACATAGCCGTGAACTGCTCACTAATGCGCTTGAATAGTTCCTGAATGGCAGTGCTGTTTCCAATAAAGGTGGCAGACATCTTCAGTCCTCGAGGTGGAATATCACATACAGCAGTCTTGACATTGTTGGGAATCCATTCCACAAAGTATGAGCTGTTCTTGTTCTGCACATTCAACATCTGCTCATCAACCTCCTTCATGGACATGCGGCCTCGGAACATTGCAGCCACAGTCAGGTATCTACCATGACGGGGATCACAGGCTGCCATCATGTTCTTAGCATCAAACATCTGCTGTGTCAGCTCTGGAACTGTCAATGCTCGGTACTGCTGGGAGCCTCGGCTGGTCAGAGGAGCGAAACCTGGCATGAAGAAGTGAAGACGGGGGAAGGGAACCATATTGACTGCTAGTTTTCGCAAATCAGCATTCAGCTGGAAGGAAATTACTTCAGTGGTTAAACAGTTTTCCTTTACCTGTTGTTTATGAACAGTACATACACCAAATATCTATCTCTATAAGGTAATAATAAAGGTGTACAAATCTTTGCTCATTATTTTACAAGGAATGGACATTAAGTAACTCAGTTCTGCTTCAGCAAAGTGGCTGCAGATGTGTAATTTAAAAAGTGTTAAAGGACTTTTAGCCCCAACGCTAATATCATGGATCATATTTATTCAAGAATCTGAAGACAAGAAGTATAATGTAAGGCAGGTTTCACACAAGAGCAGTCTCACATGTATAGGAAAGGGCTGGCAATCACAGTTGAAAAACATTTCAGGTTTCTTATTTTCCCATCGAAACTGTCTAGAGAACTATAATTACTCAAATTACATCATTGCAAACTTTTGTTTATGGGCGTGACCGTAGCAAATTTATTCTTGTCCGAAATCAAAATTAACTGGTAGCTTATCTGAGGATAACAATTCTATATTTTTTTCATGATACTAAAACGAGTATATTTACCTGGCCGGGAAATCGAAGACATGTGGTCACACCACTCATTGTGGCTGACACAAGGTGGTTTAGGTCGCCATACGTCGGGGTGGTTAATTTCAGAGTTCTGAAGCAGATGTCATAGAGGGCTTCGTTGTCGATGCAGTACGTTTCATCGGTGTTCTCAACAAGCTGATGAACCGAGAGAGTTGCGTTGTAGGGTTCCACGACGGTATCCGACACTTTAGGGGAAGGTACAACACTAAACGTGTTCATGATACGATCGGGATATTCCTCTCGGATCTTTGAGATGAGCAGCGTGCCCATCCCTGAGCCTGTACCACCGCCGAGGGAGTGAGTGAGTTGAAAACCTTGCAAACAGTCGCAGCTTTCTGCTTCCTTTCGGACAACATCTAGAACGGAATCTACTAATTCGGCACCTTCAGTGTAATGTCCTTTCGCCCAATTGTTTCCAGCCCCGCTTTGTCCTGCGTTAAATAACATTAAGAGTGCCTCATCTTAAGAGGGGAAATTTTAACTCTTACACTTATTAAATTATGAATTAAAAATATATTTGCTTACATTTAAATCTGTTGGACCTACCAAAAACAAAGTTGTCAGGTCTAAAAATTTGTCCGAAAGGTCCGGAGCGGGTTGAGAGAAACTCCTCAAATCACGAAATTCACGTTGGACAGCAGCACCGAGTCTGGCTAGTGGTTCAATATCTCACGACACTTCTGCTCCAACGGATGACGTAATAATCACTTGTTTCGGTCTGGCGAGTAGCAACCAAAACACGCATCAAAAAGGAGTTAATACCTGTAACAGAATTGTCACGCCGCTTCATCATCCGCATATAAACATCTTTTAGCGAAACTTATCTAGCACAAACTTGAGGAACTCGATTTGAAGCGAATCAAATTTTTACTAAAATTAGAACTACTGTATCACCCTAAAAACCAACACTCCGCGCATTCGGACAAAGGAAATTTTCGTACATTTTTAACTCATTACTCGCTACCTATGTCATGCTTTTGCTACCCTGCTCCAGGCAATCAATTGGTCGAAGAGGGGAAAAGCGGGGCGAACGAGCAAGAATACGCAGGAAGGGAGAGGCCCGACTCCCTCCCTTCCTCCTCCCCAGATTCCCACGCCAATTTTCGCTCGCTCGATTTTTCTCTCGTTCTCGATGACCGAAAGTACGCTGTAATTTTTTCTCCATGGTTTTTGTGGTAAACAGACATGCGGGTGTAAAAGGAGGATAGCTTCTGCCCAACTACAACTGTGTCATCTCGCAAAAATCTGAAAAAGCGGCTTAAGCGAAATTTCATCGCAATCACGAAGTTTGGTTACGAAATGAAAAGTTCTTAGATTGTATATGAAATTGCAAAAGCTGCAAACTGGAGTGATTGACAGAGAATATGTTTTTACCATTTCAATAAAAAGTGTTCGCTGTATTCACTAGAAGGAACTCGCTACCAAAGAAAACTTTCTGGGGTAGAATTTCCCTTTAGCAGTTTCCTAAGCGAGTGCCGTAAGTTCTTCCTTTAGAGGAAGGACACCAACACTTATAAGGAACTAATGATTAAAAAAATTTTTTTTATGAGCTTATTTTAGCCCTCGAAGCTTCATTACCAAGAAGCAAATTTGTCGTGACATTAGAACTCGTGTCCAACAGTCAAGAATTAATTATGAAATGAGACAAGTATGCTGCAAATATATATTTACTAACGTCGAGATTTAGTAGGCATAGGAAAAATTTCGAAGGTAATGGTTAAAAGTACATATGTACACAATGAGAACAGTCCAGAAGTTGCCACCATTACTCGCTTCCCGCAATGCGATTGGTCAAATTTGTTTAAGTGGCCCTGGTAACAGTAATAGCCCCTAAAACATGCACATCTTCTTCATCTTTAGTTCTTGAAGTTTCAGTGAATGACAGTCAGTCGGAATACACCGAGACTTTCCGCACTTTGCTGTACTTCAACAAAAAGGTACCAGCAAACTCTTGCTTTGCCGAGTGAGTCAGCAATGAAGCAATGTCCAGGTGAATGAATGCACAATGAATATCAAGTTTACTTGACGCTGGTGTAACGCACGTTTTGACTGACTACAGGAAGCTAGTCAAGGCTGGGAATGGATTCTGTTTGCTGACCACCAATTTCTGGTGTTGGTGAGATATGTAGCCTTTGATATAACCCTGAAGAACAAATGAGCGAAAAAACCACATGAACACGAGTAAACAGATGGGAATGGACTAATATCGTACCTAGATCCTACCATGTAACTGCTGGGCCGTGAGAGGTCTGGATAAGAAACTGGGAATGGACTATTGAAATCTGTTTTTCTGTTGCTACGAACGGTCTTTCGAGCGTAAAGGGAGCACAAACGCAGTGCACACGTTTGAATGGGAAGGTAGTATCGTATTCTTGTCCATATCTATTTCGCCATAAAGTTCCATCGATATCGCGTAGACAAAAACACACAACAAGCAGGGTGACTGTGGTAATACGTAAAAACATATAGCGAAAATCCTCTACTTACTCGGCAAAACAATATCAGACATTAATAAAAGGTAAAAGGTAACATCTACATAAGAGAACGGCAGTTTCTATGTTTCTAATCTCTGTCTCCGTAGCATGAAGTAACTAGGAGTACAAGTATATCGTATCGCTACCCAAAAATTTGGTCAGGTCTTCTAGAAAATTTGCCTCTTTGGTGAAAAACACCGTGTTTCTCCAAAGAACATCATACAATGACCCTGGTTGAAGTTCGACCCAAATCCTTTGATCCCAAGACCATCGCGCTGACTACCAGGCCATCGCAGTTTCCTTAGACACAATACTGGCATTGTGTGCGGGCCTTTATTTATTAAATTTCTATTAAGAAAATGGCACGAGAGACAAAGTACTGCTACTGACGAATAAAGTAGACATCAGCAGTGTAGAAGTCTTATTTCACGCGCGCAGATCGTTTTTTCTTCATTCAACTGACTTACCATGTATATCAGGTTTGCTACGATGCATTCAACTTCGGTAACGTCTATGTCTTCAACCTTAATACAGAAAAAAGAAAAAAAAGTAACTTAATTAGAGGCGAGTGAAAAGGGAGAAAGACAGGGAGGCCATATGAGGACAGGACAGGCACTGAGGCTAGCGTTGAGCAATGAAAGGGGTCACTCGACCTATGAATAACTCTCTAATGCGCGAGGCGACACGCCGTTTAAACCGGAAACAAAAAACCAGGCCTGTTGAAGGACTAGTGGCACTACTGCTATTCGCAAGCGCTTTTATATCTTTTGCCTTCAAATTTTAGCTCTTACGAAGCTATTATTTAATTACTTTCCTATACGACGTTTTTTTTTTTCACTAAAGGCAATATTTTCTTCTGTGTTATTTCTTTCTTAATAAGTACATTTTCTCTCCCGCAGAAAATAGCTTTAGAGATACGTTTTTCAATCTTCTAGGTATCTTCTATTCGTTAAGAGTATTTTGAAATTCTGCACGTCTTTTTTTAAACATGGAGCGTGACACATTCGTTCTGGAGGAGGCGCTTCTCCTTCACGAATCCTGAATTTACGCCAGGCCAGATGGATGACACGAAAAAAAGGTTAGTGTATTAAAAGGTTTCTGTCTCTTTCTAATGCGCTTGCATATCAAGGGTCGATTCCTTGTTCAAAAACTCACGTCTAGCAATGTAATTTCGGAATTTTGTGTCATTGACAAAGCCAACGGATGTGAGTGTAACTGCTGCCATCAGTGAGACTGCAGTTCCGATTTTTCCTGAATCTCGTTAGTTGCCTCCTAAGAACGAATTCTTCACGGTGGAATAACAGGAGTCGCGCTTGCCCGTCAACGCTTTCTAACTTTCGAAGGAACGGCAACAGATAGTGAATTCCCATCACATTCCACGTATGTTGTCTACATTCACTGCCACCAAAGATGTTCACTCGACCGCGACAGGATGCAAATGACTTACTTTTTCTCTTACGAGCATGATGTAACGCAATCAGAGTGCGTACATCGCCTGATCAATAGCAGCTGAGTGCATTTACAGTAGCCGTGTTTAACAATGGGTTCGGCAGGATCACGCCGCAGTACCACTGTGGCGGCAACTGATGCCCAGGAGAAGCAACAGCCGCAGGTAGAAGAGCTAGATGAGGACGGAAGCCCACGAATTGTCTTCATTACTGGTTGCTCAACTGGCATCGGCCTGGCAACAGCAGTTGTTCTTGCAAGCGACGCAGACAAGCGATTTAAGGTTTATGCCACAATGAGAAATCTCGGAAAGAAAGCAGCTTTGGAAGAAGCCGCTGGGAAAACTCTCGGCGAATCACTATTTATAAAAGAATTGGACGTATGCAGTGAAGAAGCCGTTAACAGTTTGGTAAAAGAGATTGAGAGTGAAGAGGGAAGAATTGATGTGCTCGGTGAGTGCGTAATAAAATAAGTAGTTCGTCTTTTTACCATACCCAAAAAGAAACAATTACTTCGATAGTGTCGAATCTTTTATGAAATTAATCACTTCTTTATATTGATAATCGCAGGTTGGGCCCCCTTCAAATTAGTTACGCTGCGTTCTCGATCGATGAACGTTTTCTATATATAGTCTATATAAGACGGCTTACTTGATAAATGAGTCACCCTGGTTTTAAAACGAGCAATAAAAAAAAGGCCGCAACACAAAGTTACCTCATAAAGCAAAGAAGAAAACTTGAAAAAAACGTTTACATAACTTCTTGCTGCTTTGTTTAGATTGGGGACAGAGGAATGCATATTGCACAGATATTGAGCTTGTGTTTATCACGAGTTTCAGATGACCTTAGGAGCATTTTGGCGACTAACAGACGCTGCACTTCATAGTTTTCAAAGATTTGCAATCAAATATTGTGTTTAAACTTCGTTCTGCTTAGAACTTTCAGCGCCATAAATGAAATAAGTTACTATAGGCGATAACTCGTTAGAGACCATAGACACAATGGGTAAATATTACCAAGGTCAGTAAACCTTTGTTTTGGCATTACTCAAAATGGACTTCATTTACTCTTCCTCAGTTACTAAACTCTTAAAATTTTTAGAGCCTGGCTCTTAAATGCTTGGCGAATTCAACCATTATGTTAACGACAAAGTCAAACGAAAAAAAAGGACAGTAAGTTTGTACACTGTTCCATATCAAATCTGCAAGAAAAGAGGCTATAAATACTTCTCTGCTCTGCGTTGAACTAAAATAATTTCACTTATGTAGACAAACGACTGATTGCAGCCGGTACAAAGTTCAATCATAACGTTTGTTTTGAGTTGTCTGCCGCGATCAAGCTTTTTTCTATTTCGGTGGAAACATGAAACAGGGTAGCTTACACTCTGCTATCGGGCGTTTTTTTTTTTTTTTTTTTTTTTTTAAACTAGGGAGCGCAAAAGTATAACAGCGCATGTGTGGGAAGCCTGATGGTAAGTAACACAGCGCGAATAACCGACGAATACAATCGTTTACTTTCGTGCGGCCAAGTCTAGCACTCCCACCGAAGGGAGGAACGAAAGATCGTGCATTAGAGTACAAGTTTTCTCTGTCTTCTCGTAACAAGCTTTCATGTTTATCTTCTAATCTGTTTTGAAATTTATCCACCACGCTTAGTGAACAACGCAGGACAAGGCCTGGTGAGTGTATTTGAATGCATACCAATTGACAAAGCGCAAAACCTGTTCGATGCAAACTTCTTTGGGGTCATGCGAGTTCTCAAAGCTGCTTTACCGGGCATGAAAGCAAGAAAGAAGGGTCGCATTATCAATGTGAGCAGTATCATCGGAGTGAATGGACACCCATTCAGTGAAATATACAGCGCTTCTAAATTCGCCTTGGAAGGTCTGACGGAGAGCCTGGCTCCAACACTGAGGAAATTCAACATCAGGTAAACACATCAGTCGACTGGTAACAAGTTGAGGTTAATATTGGGTTAGGGAAAGGGAGGGGAGGGTAGGTGCTCATTTGTTCGGATACTGACAACCGTTCCACCGCTACCCTTTCATAACCCATTACGTCCAAGAATTCTTCATGGCCATGATCGTGATTTTAATCGTATTTTAGGTGTTCCCTGGTTGAGCCTGGACCAGTGACAACCTCATTCAACAACAATGCCAAGTCACTGAGAGAGGGAATCGACTCATCCACAGCGGACGACAAGACCCAGGCCTTGTTACAGGAGGCTTTGAAAGAAATGTACCGTACTGTCACTGAGCACAGCCAGACAGCCGAGGAAGTGGCCGACATCATCAAAAACGTGATACTCAGTAGAGCGCCTCATTTGCGATACCAAACAAATTCTCAGTACGCACCGGGAGAGGTACAAGCCAAGTTTTCTGATGCGACAGGAGACAAAGCTATCGATCTCATGGAAAAAAGATTTTACCCGGAGACAAAGTAGTAGAGTTTTAAGACCAAAGAGTTCGCAACCGAACCCGACTGCATTTCGCAGTCCAAGGGATTCGGAGATAATAATCACTTTTTTATTTCATTATTTTTATATCTAACATGGTCATATTTCTTTTTATAAAATATATATCTAAATAGAAGTAGTGATAGACATATTCCGTCAAACCAGCAAAGGAAAACGTCAACATTGCAGAGAAGGCCTTAAGATGTCTGAATCGAAACAATCATAAAATGGTATGTTTATTATATTATTCAGTCCAATTATTCCTTACCTGCATAGCTCTGAGAGCCACAACAAACGCATCCAAAGATAACTGGTGAGTTTTCAGCAGAAGAGCCCTGAGAATACGTATAAACACAATCATCTCAGTCGGTTTACAGGATCTATAACGAAATTCTCTCTTCTGGCAGCCATATATTTCCTTGACACGATTACTGAGAATTTGGTGTTATCATGTCCGTGTAAAACCCCTGAGTCAACCATTTACAACCTAACGTCAGTATGTATATTCTCCATACAGTTCTCTATACATTTTCTAAGGTGCAGACAAGGGGAATTTGTTTAACAAACAAGAGCTTGTTTAGTTGGTGATCATTTCTGTTTTTCTCATGACTTTAATGTGTGATTCAAGAGTGCTATTGTAAGGAGAAATTAGATACTAGTCACTCTGACGGATCAAAGGGTTGATAAGTTTGTTCATTCTAGTCACCTGTGTACTAACGTATCTAAATTGTAAAGAGAAGTTACCCTATATATCCAAGTAATATCCAACAGAGCGTCGAAAGTCATCCGGGATTATAAAGTAAGAGAGATGGTATGTTTTGAGCTCGGTAAAGAAATAGAGAAAGATGTTTTTTTCGTCTTGTCCAAGCAGTGTGCAGGACGTGTGTCATATGAACTTCGTAATAGACCTTGGTCATCCGTAGTCTCTATGGCTCAGTGGGTAGAGCATCGGAGCGCGGAATCCGCAGGTCTGAGGTTCCATTCCTCATGGGACTCAGAATATTTTCTTTGTCCCACGCTCGTAACAAGACGAAAAAACACCTTTCTCTAATCTAGGATTAAAGACGAGTTTATCTCGAGTGATATTTCACTCCAAAACGAAACCATTAAGACACAAAAGTTCGATGAAAGTTTTTAAGACCTCAACATTTTCTTAAAAGTCAGTTTAGAAAAACAGAAGAGTGTGACAATTTCCTTTAATTTGTATCTGCAAAAGACACTTCGACAGATAAAAATATTTATTCAAGACTTCTAAAACTTACACTTTCTTGAATAAGTTCCTATATGTTATAATCTTTAGCTTCTCCAGAATAAGGTAAACACCACACTGGATGAAAAATCCCTGAAAAATTGAAAAAAGGCAATTTATATTTGATATAATAAGAGAGGAGTGGAAAACGCACTGCCCAGTGGTCAGAGCACTAGACTCAGGGTCGAGAGGTCTGGGTTCGAGACCGGTGCCGGCTCAATGTGTTGTGTTCTTAGGCGGAACACTTTACCCCCCAATGCTTCTCTTCACTCAGGAGTATAAATGGGTACCTGCGAATTGTCACGGAAACCTGATGAAATGCTGGGGGATAACCTTGCAATGGACTATCATCGCATCCAGGGGGGAGTGGTAATACTTCTTGTCGCTTCGCTACATGGAAACCAGGATAAGCTACAGCTGGGTGGGCCAATAGGCTTGAGTACAGACTTTACTTTTAATAAAAGGTGAGGAAAGCAGCAAGATGAATACATGTTCATGCTGTAGCCAACTCCATAGACATTACAGTTGGCTCCTAATGATCAGAACCTTTCAGAATACGATCGTTTTCTTTTTTCTCGTCAGGTGCCTGTTTAAAAGCGTAAGGATATTGTAAAGAGAAATCAGTTATCAATATGAATTTGGCAAAATACCTGTTCTCTCTCTAGAGTCTCGTTTAAAAGTGCAAGATTTCCCATTCTGAAAAAGACAACAACTCCAGGGTAAATTTGTTTAAATGAATGCAAAAAAACAAATCAAATCAATTTTAGCAAGCCTCATGTCCTATAAGCTGCTGCGTGTGTCTCCATACCTGACAGATTTAACCACATCAACAAACTGGTTTAGGTTGTACTTAAAAAGCAAGTCCTCTTTTGGTATGTAGCCCTAACGTTAAAAAAAACCAGCAGTTAAGAAACTATATTCAGTGTAAGGATATTTCGTTACTTAGGGCCAGTTATTTACACGAAGTCTCACCAGAACCTCGGTTTTATGCAATCAGTGGGCCTCGGACTTTCTCTATACGAGGTTTAATATAATTAAAAAAAAAGTCCTCTCACTGTTAGCTTTTGGCCATCTTAACGCTATTCACAAAAAAAGGGTTCAGATAACGGTTCAGGTTAATTTAGAATTGTTTAATACGCGGTTTTGTTAAACAACGGCTAACCTTTGTGTAAATAATCAGACCTTAGTGTCTAGATTTCATTCAGTTCACAAGGTATAACTCACCAGAAGCATTTTCACTGGTATGAGATAAATTAGGATTGCCCTAGATAGGTGACAAAAAACAACCATGAATAATGCATGAAATGTGTTTCAATCTTAACAAATACCACTGCGAGAAGTATATTGAAAATTAAAAAAAAAGTGTAATTAGAAGCCATGGTGAAAATTTTCTCCGTATTAACCCTTCAATTCCCAATATCTAACCAATGTTTCTGACTTCAAGTAGCATACAGTTCCCTTTTAAATTAGTCACGAGAATTCGTTGTTCCTTAAAAAAGACACCCTCTCACCGGTAGGTGTTTTCACTCTCGTCACCTTTTTACAGCATACCGAAGTTACTCAAATAAGCGTCGCGGCGCTTTAACTCCCAAGATCTCAATAGAAATTCTCCTCACTGTCTTCCTTACAATTATTATGATGTCAATTTGGAGAGTTTATTTTTATATAAACTAATAATCGCCTAATCAATATTTTTTTTCATTCTCATCACTTCTATGCTTGATATTGTATTGATACTGTAAGGAGAAATTCTCTAAGTCACTCATGGGAGGTAAAGGGTTAATTCTTTTCACGCGTCAAATGTGGCGCGTATTCAAGGGCGGTGCTTATTCGGCACAAATTGGATGCGATGAAGAAATGTCCTCTCTGAATCTAACGGTACACTAGCTATTTCAAAATCTGTATGAAAATTTTACAGCAACAACAGAGGCGTCTTTTGATCGTCACCATCTGTATCTTCTGGATTTTTCGCTTGCATTACTAGCTGTGCTTTCACTCAACTTCCATGTCGCAAAAGACCTGCTAATTTGGGGGTGACGCATTGCAACTTTCTGTCCCAAATGCGGCCTATTCAGGGCGGCACTTACTTGAGTAAATACGATAATGTACAGACATCTTACAGAAAACGAACACGAGAATCAGTTCTGAGAGATAGTAGATTACTACTTGACACTGATGAAGGGCTAACGCTCGAAACGTCAGCCTTTAAACTCTTTATGGTGGCCAATTTACGTTATCAACTTAGTTGATAACACTAGATTACCATGTTGTACTCTCCCATCGACGCAGCACCACAGTTTCTTTAAAAACTTACCGCCTTTGCTAATTGACGTACCTTCCCTTTAGTAACAAGATATAATTTTTAAAACTCGTGCTTTTGTTATTAAATCATAAAATTTTTCTCTTTTAAGTTTGCAACAAAAAATATGTAATTATGTTATTGGAATGTTGTTGTTTGAAGTTCCAAATACCTACACAGCAGATCAGTACCAGATGAAGATTACCTTTTGTTCTTACTGGAGGATATACAGCAGCGTTCAAATGCAAATGATAGATATTCATCAGCTGAAACATCAAGAACAGAAAAAACAGCTTTGATCAATACACTCAACATAATTGCTGATCAATTTTACATTCCTGATAGTTAACATATGAACTTTTAATTTCGCTCTGCGTCACGAAAGTTTTCGTATTTCTTATCATTAATCTTTTACTAATGCGTACTCGTTGTGCGAAAAAAAGTTCATGGTGCAGACCACAGTCACAATAAACTGTGTAGTGTAGTCCTCTTGAAATAAAAATTCCAAGGTTTCAGCTGAGAGTAAATAAATATAAAAAGACACAAATGTCGTTAACCCTTTAACTCCCAAGATTTGATTGTTAATTCTCTCCTCTAGCTGCTACATATTTCCTTGTAAGTTAGTTATGACAACTTAGCGCCAGATCAAGATAGCAGCTTTTACCTGATAAGTTTGAACATTCTCATTACCTGTTTGCTGAATTTGTATGGATATTATAGGGAGAAGTTTCATGTTAATCACTTCTGGGAGTTAAAGGGTTAAGCTGTTCAATATAGCATACCTACCAGCTTTAAAATCACTGTCAAACATAGCTTTTCTTCCTACAAAGTATCTGACGAAAATCAGAAGAGAAGAAAAACGCACGATTACTTTTCTTGAAATAGCTATGTAGACACAACACTACTTCTAATTTCAGAGTTTTTGTTTGGAAGGGAAAGGGAGCTGGGTTTCCTTTTAAGAGAGAGGGGGGAAGAGACTTATTAGTCAAGAACACTGCTAGTAGATGTACTTTTGTCTATGCAACATGCATATAATCATCTCCATACCTGTATGTAACCAGATGAGCCAGTTTAAACTGGTCTTTTATGGGTGCACTGTCTATTGCCCTGATAAGAGGCTTGCACAAGTGAAGTTTATTGATCTGGAGGGCAAGTAAAAACAAACGGAAACAGAGAATGTCTGTTATTTCATCATAATGAAGAAAGAACCTTTTATATGGATGCTTGGTGAGCCCTTTTTTTTTTAGTTGTCCCTTCCTATAAGCGAGAAAATAAACTTGCACTGTGTAATCAAGTTAAAATTCAAAGTGTGTCAAGAGAAAACTGAGTTTGCATGTGCTATAAACATCTCAGTTGTTTCTAGGAGAGATCAAAACTTGTGCCACCATCTAGTGTCACATTTGACATGTTACATAAAAAATGCACTTGTATCCAGCCACTCAGAAGTGCATAAATTTCTCCTGTATATTATTTTAAAACTGCTGTACAGATTATCACAGAACTGAAATATCAAATAAACTCATTGAAGTAGTACCTTGAAATAGATCTTGAATAAATGATTTACAAGTGCAAGCATGCCCCACTTCTTAGATACCTCAAGTGATGAACGACTACAGAGTAAAATGATAAATATCCATTCATTTAAGTATGACAAACAAAAGCAGAGAGCCATTTAAATGTATCAGGGTTTTTTATTTATGTTGAGATTGGTGCAACTTTCTCGACTATTCAGAGAGTATTATGAAGCAAAACCACCAAGGCTACACTCAAATGAAAATAATATTGCTCTTACATGTCCCATCAAATGGTTGGCAGGCAACAATGAGGTAAATACATATATCTTATTAATCGTTTTGGTGTATAGTATCACTGAATATTTTTAGGAGTTGTGCTGTATTTTTACCAGCCTGTAGGGTGAGTCAAAATACAAACAACAAGTAAAAATACCCAGTAATACTACATACCAGAAGGTCTAATAAGTTCTTTATTATCCAATTCCTTTTTTTTCTGCTGAATCTTTCTGTTCATTTCTAGTAAGATGGGAAAAGCAAAGCAGATAGAGAAGCATAGTGCACGCAGCCAACTAGTTAAACAGATTTTTTGACGATAAAAAATAACTGCCTAAATAACCATACAATATTGCAGGATATTAGTTCTCTATTTGTGCTTTATTTGTACTTTACTTGGTGTAGTTGAATAATAAATGACTAACAGTATTGCAATATTGCAGATAAGCCATACAGTTCCCTGAACAAAACAACTGTGAGAGCTGGCAAGCTCAATGAACTGACCTATCACTTGCACAGACCCTGAAACACCCCATCATTACTTCTGCCGCCTTCTCCAACATTTCTCCAGGTTTGCCCTGTCCCTTTCTTACTTGCTGCTTGTCTGCCTGTCAAAATCACCAATCATAATTCCAATATTATTAATTATTTTTAAGACAAAACATGATAACTCTTGAAAGGCATGTTCTGGCATCACTTATGCCATCAAGCCCCATAAAATGACTTTACTCATTTATTACTTTATGCAAGCTGAAAACATGGGCCTAGTTATTATTTAAAGTGGCATATGGCTAATTAACATCACTGACAATGAAACAGTTCTGAAAAAGTTGTTTCAGGCTTAGATTTTAGGGTAAAATTACTTTATTACTGATAAAATTTTAAATACAATCAAATTCTGACATCACAGAATTCTTTTTGGATAAAGTGACATATTCTTTGGAACTAAATATGTAATTAAGAATTGAAGTGAAAATAATTATTATTCTTAGTAAGCACTACATATTTTAAACAGTAGTACCTGCATGGCAAAAAGTCTCAGATCTAATGTGACAACATTCATTAATGGCAATGCCCTGGTGAATAAAAAAGGTTAATATCACCAAGGTTAATATTTCCAAAGACAGAATAAAGATTACATGCCCTTGTCAAATGAGGTGGCATTGGTAAAAGCAAAATATAGCATCCATAATTATTCAGGCATTTCTCTGCTCTGAAGTATACCTGGATACCAGCAAGCAGACAGATTAGGGGAGCTTGATGAAATCCTCAAGGCTTTACCCATTCACCTCCAAGATCTCATTGGTAATTCTCCTTACTGTCTGCCATACAATTCTTATGATGTTGGTTTAGAGAATTTGATATTGGATCAAAAAATAATCCAGTAATTGACAATTTCTTTATTCTCATCACTTGTCTGCTTGATATTGTATTGATATGGTAAGGAGAAATTCTGTCTCAGTCACCTTTCATAACCAGGATAAACTAAACAGTGACAGAGTCTTTAAGTACACAAGTGTTATCTTCTGTATTCAACTCTAAAAGATCAAACTTGCAAAAAACTTTAAGATGACTGCTGCTTTTCCTTTCTACTACACTGCTTCATAATCATCTGATGTTATTACAGTGTGTAGAACATGTTCTTACATGGAAAAAGACTTAGCTGTGTCACATTTCCACTTTCAATTAATAACAAGGATGTTCACGATTTCTATCCTGTGGCTGGTTAGGCATTAAATCTGATCTAAATCATTTCTAATAGTAAATTAATTTGTAGGATTACTTGTTAATAAACATACCAGTTCTCATCTTTTTGACTCTGAAAAGCACGGGTGAAAGACTTACTATTTGTTAAGGTAAAAGATAGATTGGATAATATGCAAAAAGTCAGCAAGTACAAAACAAAAGTTACAACAGATTTTTCCACCAAAAACATTTTGGGTGTTGCTATGACTTAAGGTTCTTTCCACAATACTTTCCTTGTACTGGGTCAACAACACAATATGTTTGTTTGATTGATTTTAATAGTACCAATGCTAAGGAATCAGTAACCCAACTGCTGATTAAAGGGTTTTGCATAAATCATTAAGTCATTAAAAAATAATACAAACTTGCACATAAAAAAATTAATACTTAGAAAATTAAAACATAAACATTCCTATCAATAACAATTTGGTAAACATTTTGATGGTAAAAATTAATAGTAAAATACAACATTTTGACTAAACTTTGGTCATTTTCAACTGAGTGGCAAGAATGTTACAATAAATATATACAAGCATGTAAGAAGTGTAAAAAATGTTTGAAAGTGTAAACGGACAATAAGAACATACAGGGAGAAGAAATAATTACCTGCCTATTATTAAAACAAATTATTTTTGGACTACTGCAATTTGAAAAATTGTGAGGGAAAAAAGATTGTGTGTCACAGCATATTAAGAGCTGTTCCCTCCAAAACTTCCAAAACCATCTAACAAGAATTTTTCATATTATAGGTTTTCAAAAAAGATATTGGACAACAACTGCTTGGGAAGATCGTGCTTCAACATAATCACCATTGGCCACAGCCCAAATAGCTCTGCAAAAAAAACAATATAAATAGAAGAGTATCTTTTTTAGTTTCCTCCCTCATAAAACCACAAGCCCATAACTCCCATTTATTGAGATGAATTTGAAAGGCATAGTTTACCTGAGATGATATGCTACCATTTCATCATATGGTGGTTCAAACCATCTTTCACATTGCAGCTGTGCATCTGGTAACTGACAAAAATACAAACCAACTAAACCTGATACAATGCAGTAGTAAGTTGGTTCAAAAAAAAAAAAAAAATATATATATATATATATATATATGTACATTTTTGATTTTATGTCCCTCAAAAACTAGTTCCTTTCATAATTTATGATAAAACAACTAAACACCAATGCAATCTCAAAAGCACTAGCAGGAACAGGGAATTTCATCTCTCTTCATGAGTCAGGCATTCACTAATTGGCAAGGCCTGGTTTGAAATGTTTCACTCAAAGTCATGACATACACACCTTATTGTGCTCAGTTTACACATCATGACAGAGAGCAAAATATCTTCCTATCCCACCTGACAACCCATATCTCAGTCAGTAGGCATTTTATCATGTGTCTGTCCTTCTCTCTCTTTCTTCCTATCTTCCTGCTTTTTTCCATTCTGTTTATCTTGCACAGACCTTGTTCCAGCCCTATTAACCCCATTGCACAAAGCCCTCCCACAGGGATTTTTTCATGTTTTCCAATAAAAGTGCAAGCAGGGCTGTCTGCATAATGTGATAATTAACAAGTGTTGACCATAGTGGAGGTGGCTAAAAGTGGATATTTACCCAGCCAAGAAGGAGCAAGGGAAATATCTTACCCAAGCCACCAATACTGAAATAAAGAATTGTTTTAGTATACACTAACACAGTGAGATAATATACTACAAAAAGATCACTTTCACTCATTCATTCCTGCAGCAAATACAAAAATTTCAACTCAAATCCCACATGCATTGATTGAAGGTGAAAGGCAAAGGATATTTGGAGTTTGAACCCCAATCATAGCATGCCTTCAGGACTATCCATTATTCTATTGCATACTTATACAAATTATCCCCAAAGTGAGCAATCTGTAATGGTTTTACCTGCAGTCTTGGACTTGCTATGTGTGGATGACGAAAGGAAAATAGTTCCTACAAGTACATAAATATTTGAAAATGTTTAAATATCATTACACATCATAATGAGCATAGGCAAAATATTCACTGGTACAATTAATTGCAAGAGTCAGTAGAAAGGAAAAGTTGCTTCCTATTCCTTTGATATCTTATGCTCAATTTTTATTTGCTTTAAATAAATCAAGTTTTCATTTATAAACTGGCACATGTAGATTGATACGACTTTACAGCAAGGGCAACAATATACACTTAATGTATGGTCCCGAGGGAAACAGTTGGTCTTGTTTTCCCGGGAGTCTTCATGTTTCTCAAGACGAAGTCGAGGGAAACATCAGGACTCGAGGGAAAACAAAACTAACTTGTTTCCCGCGGGACCGTTCCCTAAGTGCTTCTTTATATATTTAGACTTTCCCTTAAACAATCATATGGTAAAAACATGCTGTTGTATTCGACGCGCAGGCAAAAACTGCACAACTGTATCCCGGTCTGCGAAAATGTAATTTTAAATTGGAAAAACCCTCCATTAATCTTACGACAGTGTGCAAACATCCTGTGTATTTGAAGAAAGGAAAATTGGCTTTCGTGCGATTTTAGGACAATTTAATCTTACCGCTAAAATGTCGCCACTTTTGGAAACAAGTCCTTTTTTCACCTATTGGGAAAGTTCAAGCATGAAAGTAAGTGCAGCTCTCGATTGTTTCCCTTCTTCTTTTTTTTTCTTTTAATACAAAACTATCAACGAAATCGCTTCCTGACCTGATCTAAATACTTTTCAAGACTCATATGCGCCATCTTGGAATTCTCGTCCTCTAACGCATGCGCTTCTTAATTTCCGCTGATTTTACCCTTTGGCGGGAAGTCTGCGCCGTCAAAAAGAGCGCCTGCAAGAAATCAAAGTGCTCTGTGAGCAAACTCGTGAATTGACACATGATATTCAGAATTATGTTTAATGTTATCTGGTTTAGAGAATTTTGTGGTTGATTGTCATATCTAGAGTACGAGCAGTAGTTCAGTGTTCGCTAATGTAGCAAAGAAACAAAGTAACGTTAGGATAAGAAGACATTACAATTGAAATGATCATGCTATTATATTTGACAAGGGTGGATGATGTCATGTGTTTTGAACGTATATCATTTGTTTCTGGTTCAAAAGAAAAGGTTGTAAGTAAATGTGGATGAAAAGTGAAATGTACTGTCTATCATTGTAAATATTAGAAAATCAAGGCAATACTGTCTTAACTATACTATACTATACAATACTGTCTCAGATTATTTGTAAACCTACTCGGGTCACTGAGAATTCTAGCACCACGATAGACTTGATGTTCGTTAACAACACTCACAGGGTCGTGCAGTCCGATGTTCTGCAGTCAAGCATCAGCGATCATAGCATTGTGTTCTGTACTATCAAGGGAGGTGTAAAGAAACTTCCACCAAAGTTGCTCGAGTATCGTTGTTTTAAAAACTACAACAAAGAAGCATTCTTGCGTGATCTCAGCAACTTACCTTGGAGCATAATCGAAAGTGCTAATGATGTTGATGATGCCGTGTTCCTCTGGGAAGGTCTTTTCAATAGCATTGCAAACGACCACGCTCCGATAAAATCAAAGCGTGTGAAGGGGACAAAGACACCGTGGGTTACGAACAAACTCCTCGAAATTCGGAGTGATCGAGATTACCACTGGAAACAGGCTCAGAAGTGTAAGAACTCGCAGTATCACTGGCAAATGTACCGAAAATTGAGGAACTGTGCGAATAGCGAGGAAAAGAAGCTGAAATCGAAATATTATTGTCGGCTGATAGAAGATGCTAAAGGTGACAGCTCCAAGATGTGGAAAGCAATTAAAGAGACACTTCCCTCTAACCACAATGAAATTAATGCAGTTTTTGGTCATGGAAAATTGCAGACTGACCCCAAAGGCATTGCAGAAACTCTAAACAATCACTTTTCAAGCATCGGCAAGAGCCTTGCAAAGGCCTTTCGTGGTTTAAAACCGACTCAGTACGATGCAGTTCCTACCTTATCGTTCTCTCTCAAGTATGTGACGTCAGCCTTTGTTGAAAAGCAGCTGCGCCTAATGAAAACCAATAAAGCGGTAGGACTAGATAGCATTAGTGCACGTTTACTCCGTGATGCAGCAAATGTACTTGCTTCACCTCTGCGGGATATCATAAACCTCTCTTTTGAGAAGGGTCAATTCCCATCATCTTGGAAATGTGCGAAAGTGACTGCTCTTTTCAAAGAAGGTGATAAGTCCGATAAAGATAACTATCGTCCCATTTCTGTCCTGCCCACGGTCAGTAAAGTAATTGAGAGAGCTGTTCATTCTCAACTTTACGGCTACCTTGACTCCAACAATCTGCTTGCTGTGAACCAGTTTGGCTTTAGACGTGCAAGATCTACCGCTTTAGCTCTAACGCAGTTTACCGATGAAGTGCTAAGTAATATGGATAAAGGTTTAGTAAATGGTGTAGTTTTTATTGATCTGAAGAAGGCCTTCGACACCGTTGACCATGTCATTTTACTCGGGAAGCTCAAATCTCTAGGATTACGCAGCAAGAATCTGGAGTGGTTCCATTCCTACCTATCCTCTCGTTACCAGAAGACTGTGATTGGTCAAGCCTCTTCTCCTGCGCGGAAGGTTTCCGTTGGTGTTCCTCAGGGATCTATTCTCGGTCCATTACTATTTGCCATTTACATCAACGAACTACCCAAGGTCCTTCGGAACACTACGGTCACCTTATTCGCTGATGACACTGCTATCTACTGCTCTTCTCAATCAGCCCGTGACCTACAGACCATGTTGAATCAGGATCTAGACAGGCTAGCTCAGTGGCTCTACGAGCATAAACTTACACTAAATATCTCGAAGTCTAAATTCATGCTCATTGGCGGTCCAAGGAAACTTAACACCTTAGAAGAATTCACATTAATAATCAAGGAGAAGGTGTTAGACAGAGTCAATTCGTTCAAGTATCTGGGCGTAATTATCAATGAGAATCTGTCTTGGACTGATCATGTGGATTACATTAAGACCAAAGTGTCTCAGAGGCTTGGCGTTTTACAGAGAATAAAACATCTTCTGCCAAGAAATACAAGGGAACTCTTTGTAAAAGCCATGGTGCTGCCAATCCTTGATTATGCAGATGTGACTTGGGGGGATAAATCCAACACCACTCTGATGAACAAGATCCAATTACTCCAGAATAAAGCAGCTAAATTAATTTTAGATATGCCAAAGCATTCATCAGCAACAGAAGCTCTTGATCTACTTGGTTGGGATACATTGGAAAAAAGGCGAAGATCACATCGTCTATTTTTGGTTTTTAAGTCCTTGAATGGACTAATTGATTGGAATTTTAATTTTAATCATTTTAAAGATATACATGATTATAACACTCGTTTTAATAACAACATTTGTAAACCACAATCAAAGCGTACATGGGGTCAGCATCGGTTTGTTTGTCATGCAGTAGATGACTGGAACGCTCTCCCAGACGGCATTAGGAACATTTCCAATTTTTCAGTTTTTAGACGTCTTGTTAAGAACATGTAGTCTCTTCTATTGATTATACCCTTTTATCCTATTCTTGATAACCATATTTATATTTTCTGTTATCCTTACGTTAGATTTATGCAGGGCCTCACTGAAAACCACACTTTGTGACGTGGGCTCCCTGTCAAAAGATCTTATTTATAATGAAAACATCAACGATTCGTTCTTTGTCAAATGAGACAAACGGGAACGAGTTTTGAGTGACATAACTAAGCCAAGACTGCCACCGTCATTTTGGATCTCCGCCTGGTAGATTTTAGTCATGTGCTAGACAACGTATACTCAATAACAAGATAGAATTTCATTTCAGGCCTATTTATCAATTTTGTGGTGTATAACTTTCGCATTTTAGTACGTAATATGTATTTTGAATCTTCAGATTGTCTTGAAACTTAAAAGAAAATTGTTCTTTAAAAATTCACTGAAAATCTTGTCATGTCAACTTGTCATTTCGTCAGTCGCCGGCACCTTTTGATGCTTCACACAGGAAAAACACATGATACGAAACGTAATGATCGATTTTGTCTTCAATCTCACGCCATAAGAGAAAAAAAGCTTTTGAACATCTGTTAACTTGTTTTCAAGTTCAAGGATTGTAAATTACAATTTTATGAAAAACGAAGGTTGTTCTGTTATTTCAGTGTGAATCCTTGCATGCCTGCAGGTCGCTGTCCCCGCTTGTTAAAACTAAAAGGAAAAAAAAAAAAACCAACTATTTTAAGATTATCATTGGCTTCTTCTTCACCCCACCACTATTCTTAGCAACAAAGGTCGCCATCTCGTTTTTTTATTGCTCGCCAAACACTATCAAATGCACTCAAAAGCCTAAAATCGAAAAAAAGTTTACAGGAATCGATCAATCGAGCGAGCGAGCGAGTGCCATTCCCCACATCGTATCTACAACTCACTCTTGCGCATGCGCGCAATTCACGAGTTAAAAAGTTAGAAAGAAAAGTAAAAGGCCTGGGGTCCCTGGAGTGCCTATCTTAAAGTAAGGCTTTTTTTGGGGAAAAAAAATTACTCTATGTCAGCGTGTGTAGTGGTATGTTGCTCCAACAATCAGATCGCTGCATTAGGGTATGTATCTTACACAAATCAGATCGCCTCAGATCGCCTATGTATGTATAACCGATCAGATCACAGCCCTGAGGCCCCTAGAGTGCCTGTTTTTGAGTTATCATTATTTTTTTAATATTTAAATAGCTTTATGTAAGCACATAGACTGATATGTTACTCGCACCATAGGAGTGTGTTTCCGCCAATCAGAGCTTCAGGGTATTGTCTTTCATGTCAATCATGTCGTGGTATTTGGCTGCCGCAAAGTAAATGTTGCAAAGTAATCAATTCAACATAAACACACTAAGAATGGTACTAACAAAGAACTTTGATCCCATCTACCCAGTTAAATGGATCATGTCCTTCGTGAAGACCTCGTCGCTAAGATCTGTCGAAATTAGAAAGATCTGCAGGGAATGTTTTATCATTTAGAAGTTGACGCGTGTTTTGTGTACCGTTCCTTCATGTACTTACAACGCACACACCGACAGCTAAAGGCCTAACACGAAATCATCACTGGAGTGTTTGTTTTGGAAAGAAAAATTTTGCTGACTCTGGTGAAAATCGCGCAAAGCATTTACATAAAGCATATTTGAAGAGTAATCTCGTTTTTTCCTTATGGTTAGTTTTTTGCGAAGATTGAAAAGATCAACCAGCATTATTTACGTTCTCCATCGACTGCCATGTTGCATATCTGTTTCTTTGCTTTAAATATTCTCCACGATTCACTTCTTGTATTTAAACGGTATATTCTCGATTCAATTACGTGTTTGGTTGTCACACTGACTGCTTAGGCTTTCTCCGATGAAAAGACATTTGCCAGTAAACAACTTAAATTCACGACACATTGTGCGGTGCAACGGTATTGCAAAGGTCACGGGTTCAAATCCCGTGTAGGCCTGAATTTTTTCTTCAGACCTTATTTTTACTACTTCTTGAGTAGTGTTCATCATTGTAAAGATCGGTTTCAGATTTATTCCTTAATCCGCAGCTCCCATATACGATTTTGACATATTCATAGTAATGGCATTACTTTGTCGTCTTCGTAAGAAGAGCTCGGTCGAAATTCTAGCCATTCCTTGAAATAATGAATATTTCTGTGATGCGTTTGATAACTGTTGACTTTCATGGTCAACATCACAGACTCTATCTTACACTCTGGCCACGGGAAAAAGCGGTTGAAAATTGCAATTTTTGCTCTCCTTTCCTTAAAAACGCTGCTTTGGTACAAATTAAAATCCAAATTATTCAATACTAAACACATCCATAGGGTGAGATCACATCCATTTCGCCTAAAAAAAGCTCTTTCTTGATAAAAATAAAAATGCCAACCTTTTGCAGCAAACTTCTTTTATTTGACTCATCTCTAATGACTTAAAGTGCTGAGCTGAATTGACAAAATCTTATTTTGCTAACTTTTCATCAATCAAAAGATAACAATAAGGCCAAAAACTAAAAAAACAAATGAACAAAACAAAACACGAAAAGAGAAGAGCCAGGTCAGATTGGTCATCTCATTTCTTGCTGATGCTCTGCATTCGGTCGTTGGGGAAATTCATGGCTTCTGGACTTTCATACCACTTGCCTGGCTCCAGTTGCTGTTGTAAGCCCTTATAGTTGGTTTTGGTGAAGGCTAAAAACTTCTGGTTCTTGGATAACACGATGGCAGAGGAGACTCCTCCAGCTTTCCCGGCTGGGAAAAAGGGGTTCAGATCTGGGCAACTTTCTTTAAACCACTGCACGAAATTGTGGAAAGAATAGAACCCAGATAAAGGAGAAACATCTTTCAAAAGAAATAATTTTGTACTAGCATCTAACCTCTAAGACACTAAGTAAAATAATAAGCTCGTTTGCAGGAGTGTCTTTTGAGAAAAGTTTTAAATCTGGTTAAACTCCTCATTTGACATGAATTTTCGAAATCCACTAAATATTCTTCCAGGAACTGCGAAGGGAGATCTAGCACGAACCAGAGCTATGAGGTTAACTGGGAAAAAGTGCTACACATTGTCACGAAACATACGCCATTTGGTATCGAAGGGAAAGACAGGGGTATGTGGACAAAATAATCAGTTATACTCTTACAACAATCAGATCGCTTTTCAATGCCTCTTGCGCCCGTCACTTACATCACATGTCTGTATGATGTATAGATGATCTGTTTATGATTCCTTATGAATATGAATCCATGTGGAAACAAGCTATCTTATTTGCCTCCGTCTGAGTGACTTTGAAGATTATTATCGGAAATAATCTACTTTTTAAAAAAATGATTCCAGGCCCGAGTTCACTCACGGCCAATTTCAAACCAAAATAACTAAAAATCCTTGTTCAAAATTAAGAAAATGAAAAAAACGATCATGTTCTATGATGCCACACTATCCTGTAATCCATTTAGAACTGATTGCTACTTACTGCTGATCTCTCTTTGTTGTCTTATGAGAATTGTAAGACAGAGCAGAGCGTTTTTTACAGAGAGCGTGAGCTGCTGATTATTGAAAGCTTATGTATTTTGAATACCTTGTTGGTTCCACCGTAGAAGCTATGCTCGAACAGAAGGATTCCTTCTGCCTGGTCCGGAAGGAGGAGCATGGAGCCATTCACACTCGAGATCGTTACACGTGGTCCAGGCTCGAGAACTTTGTAGTTAGATGGGCCAGCATTGTTGGCGGCATTGAAGTTTGGGTAGGTGTAGAAGATCCAGGTTCCCGAACTAACAACGGCTTCTACGAAGGAAACACCGTGATCCTTTTTCAGGTCCACCTCTGAATCTGAAAACTCCTGGCTCAAACCGCTCGCGTCGTACAACTTGATGGACATGATGGATCAAACCTGGAATAGATTGACATGGAAATAACAAAACAGATGTAAATGAATTTACTACTGATTACTTCGGACTGATTACTTCGCATTAAAGTCCGTTTTTGCACAGACGAGGCTTTAAGGTAAAAATTCTATCAATAAAAGCTATGGAAATCTCGAGAAATGAGCGGTCGAAGAAGGCAAGAATTTTCAAATTGCCAAAACGGCTCTTCCGAATAGGGCCGATGTAATTTTGGGAAGAGTTGGCCTATCAGCAGGTAGTATTTAAAACAAGACTGAGACATTTTTGGTGTGTTTCTGATTTTCAGCTACATCTTTCGGGAGATTTTTCCCAACCTTTTGTTTTCCAAGCTTGTCTTATGGGAAGATCACTTCTTCTCGACGTCTTACGAAACTGCAAAAGACAACTTTGGGAGTGTCTATGAGATTCCTTTTAAAGCATTTCATAGATCAGAACTGCGCATGTCACAGGGAAGTAAAAAAACTTAATTAGGCCCCTAAGACATAATCAAAAGAGCTTTAAAAAAAAAGATTGACACGTTTCACCATACCTACATAATATCATTGTGGCTGACAACTGGCGCTTCACGAGGAGGTAGTCCTCAAAGACCAATCCTCAACAAGATGTTGCTCGATAGTTTAACAGCAAATTTTTCAAAGTTGAAAAGATTAAAAAACGCTTGCGAGTTTCACCTCTTTGTATAAATAAATAGAAATAGGATAACTCAGCTTGGTTATTTTGTGGTTTCACATCTACGCCCTAACAATATTTCACAATAGAAATTGATTGGTTGTTTTAGGTGTATTTTTAGCATGCGATGGATGCTTTAGTCTAAATGTAAACAAGAAGTGAAACAACCCGATATGTTCACCACTCCCACTAAGAATCCTAGGACAAAAAAGAACAACACATCTGAATATACGATGCTGCTTAATGTTTTGACGGCAAAATTCGATTTAGAAAAGACAAATCACGTACACGCCTTTCAAATCCTTGCTTGATTGTTTTGTGGTTTCACAATAGCATTCTAGCGCGTCCCAGCGTCACACCTTATCTAGTGACATTTCACAAGAGCAGGGCGTGAAATTAACTTTTTTTTTCTGATAGCCACTTGGCTCCTAAATTCTTCAAAGTGGTAGCCAATTCAAAAAAAGTTGGTCGCCATTTTCAAAGACAAACAAAATCTTTCTTTACGCTGTCAGCGTTCTAGATAGACCCTCCAAAATTAAGTTAGGGAAAAGATCTTTAACGTGCTACAAAGTGGACACTAGGATGGATGATAAACAACGTT